AGACACTATCTAGCCTCTCAACACCACTATCCAAGCAATCATACCCCAAAAGGAAGTCCATAGTCCAGACCACTACACCGCAATATACTCTGATCTGCAAGATAAAGACGCCAGACTATTTCTGCACTCTGCAAGCGCCTTGACGGCCCCTGCGTCTTCTTGGCAAAGGTTCTTTTTGACGAACGACATCCGTGTGATCTACCACGACATCCCTGCACATCTGGGGACCTTCCATCTTGGGCCATGTCTCCCGGCAATACCACCCTCAACGCGGAGACGGTGGGCCAATCAATTATCACTCCGCTGTTTATGACTTGCAGGAGAGACGATTGTTATCAGTGGTAAAGAGGGGTAGTTGGAGACCTGCGAGATTTATTAAGGCTCGCTTGGGCATTGGAACTGCCTTTTACATGCTGTGCTATGATGTTCTGATTGATATCATGCCGCTTTTGATATGGAAGGTAGTATTGCTTGTTAAGTGAATGCATCACGCGTCTATTTGCGACTCAGTGACACGATGTTGTATCTTGCATATACGAAGCGGCCTCATTATCAGCCTTACTTGGTACCACGGCGATTGAAACCAAGAACTCCGTCGCCCTTCTCTTTTATGGAAAAGAGTATTGGACACTGGTGAGTTTTCATCGAGGTCATCATACGAGAGACGAGAGCCCCGGGCTTCTTGATGACGGCCTGCCAACTTGTTGAATATCCCCTCGCCCGAACTGTCGTCGGATGACACGAGGTACAGCTCCAAGTGACCTGCCAATCTTGTCAAGCTTCGAGACTGCTACTAGCCAAGGCTTCCCCACGACTTGGCTTTTCAGGTCAGAGTGGTCTGTGGGTTCGTATTACCCAGTAGTGACTCGGCATAGATCAATGTACTATTGAAGGATGTGTCAAGTGCACATGGTAGTCTACAACGTAGTAGCAGATGACTATTCAAATCACATGTGAGAACTTCATCCTGTATGTTGATTTCATGTCATGATATCACATTTTCAACCTGCAACTTTGACATCGCGGACGCTGTCAGGGTTATTTTCCGGTTCGCTGAGGAACGCTCTAACAATAGTGTTATCACGAAAGCATGGTTCCATAGTCATCATGAGATCTTCTTGGTTACTGGAAACAGTTTGATTACGTGTTATACACTACGTGCATGACATGTTGTTGACCCTTTCATCTCAAAGTGTGAAGACTAAGTCTACGTAACCTATAGCGGACCTAAGTAAAGTCTGTCTTCTGCACATCGGCATCATCGCAGCCACAAAGGATGAGGACATCTTGTTTTGAAAACTGTAGAAGGGCTAGCAAGATGGAATTAAAATGCCTGGTCCGATATAAAATTCTTCAGTTCTCAAAGAACGCATCTCTGATAAATCGCGAGATCTAATTCTGGCCGTAATTGGCCCAAGACGTAACAAAGCTATTACTACCTCAAACATCTCAACCTTCCAAGAATATGAAACACAACCGGACTTGTTTCAAGACTTTTCGTGAATTCCATTTTCCTCATGTAAAAATAAAACACTCCGCCATATGGAGGGGACCTCAATGATTGGTTGGCTTTAGTTGCCATCGGCCAAATTGGCCGTTACGGCCCCACTTTCGAGCCGGCGAATTTGGACGTGAGAAACTCGCCATGATCCATCTTGACAACACGATTGGGAAGCGTCCGGGAACACTAGTAAAATATGGAACTTCCAGGCCAGTTTGGCCGCGAAATTCAAATTGATAGAGCATGTCAAAGGAAGGATGGTTATTGTTCCTAGGAAATTGCCTATATAAAGACTTCATCGTCGAACTCTTGACTGAAGTCATCAACAACCACCAATATACAAACCCTTCATACATTTCAGTTTGCCTATCATGTCTCGAACTCTTGCTCTTGTCACTGGTTCAACTCAAGGCATTGGCCTTGCAGTTGCCAAAGAACTCGCCATCAAGCATAACTACCATGTCCTTCTTGGCGTTCGCAACACCAAAGCCGGCGAGGAAATCGCCTCTGATCTCCAAAAGGACGGCCATCAAGCTTCAGTCGTAGAGCTTGACCTAAATTCTCCTGAGTCCATCGATAAGGCAGTCAAGCATATTGAAGAAAAATACGGATATCTCGATGTTCTCATCAACAACGCTGCTGTTTTGCTCGATTTTTACAAGGACCTTTCCACCTGGGATCTCTTCTCCAAGACATTCACAACGAATGTCGTAGGAACTGGTTGTCTTACTCAAAGCATTCTTCCACTTCTTCGCAAAGCAAAGAATGCTCCACCGCGCATCGTGTTTGTCTCGAGCGTCATGGGCAGTCTCACCAAGGCCACTGATGAAACCACGATCTATTACAACATTGACTACAAAGCGTACGACGCGAGCAAGGCGGCTGTGAATATGCTGATGCTCAACTTTGCTCGGGAATTGCGTGATGTGGATGGAAAGGTCAATTGTGTCTGTCCAGGGTTGGTGAAGACGGGCTTGTCAGGTTATCATGAGTGGGGAACGAGTCCTGAGGTTGGCGCTGAGAGGGTCGTTGAGATGGCGACTATTGGGGAGGATGGACCCACCAGGACCTTCAGTGATCGTAGCGGAGAGCTTCCTCTATAGATGGAAATTGTATCATATTATGGTAGTTCGGTGTTGCGCTAGATACTGTAGTTACGAGGGGGATTAGAGCCCCTCTGTGGGTCTTAGCCGTAGGATTTTAGCCTTAAATCCGAACACGTATTTCTGCTTACCAACCTGCACTTGTATTCTCTCACATCACTTCCAATTCGCGAAAACTCGTATCAATCACAATGGAGATTTTGACAGAATCTCTGTTCTTTCAAACGTGTCACTTGTGTGACAAGGCTTTCACTCAGGGTATGTCTGCCCCAAGCATGCCCGCCAGCCGCTGACCATTGTCAGAGCATCCGTACAAGCGTCATGTCAATTACTGCCGCCGCGCCCAGACTCAACGCAAAGGACGCCCAAAGTCTTGCACTTCCTGTAGAATAGCCAAGACGAAGTGCGACTTTGGTCAGCCATGTTTGAGGTGCACGACAAAGGATCTGCGATGCTCGTTTGGTCGACCAGTTCGCAACGGACCTGCGACATCAATTGAGCATTGCCAAGATCTCAATGCTCGAGCGAATAGTGAGCTGGAGGCCATTCATGGATTCGTTCCATATGAAACCCCGAGTGTTACCCTTGAGTGGGACGACTTCTCAAGTGATTTCGTTTCGTCGCTGAACACCACACCAACCGATTCCTCTGGTCTCATGTCGGCTTCTCTGGAAATATTTCCGCCCATCATCACACACGACACACAAATTCGCGCACCCCCGCGATCGCTCAGCTCCAAGGGAGATCTAACGCGCGTATCTAATCGTCTTTCAAGCATGCAGCACGCGTCGAGAGTCATCATGCAGATGCTTTACGCATACCCGCAGATGATGCTCCGCCGGCAAACGTTCCCGCCGTTTATTCACCCCCACTGGCATTTAAAAACTCTCCCTGAGACATTGGGGAATTGTATGAGTATTTGCCAGTTGTTTGCCGCAAGGACACCAGAAACACAGTCGTTCTTGTGGAGGACGGTCGCTGCTGAAGAGGAGCGTTTCCGGGAAAAGGTAAACGCGACGAGGTTTTCGAGTTACATCGGCTGATACGAAGCAGCTACATACCTTCTCTCCTCATGAGGTGCATTTGTGTCTGGAGGCCATGATCATTTACATGATGATGTCCATGAGTGAACCTGACTCAGAAAGCAAGGAGCGAACTTCTAGGCTCTTCGAAACAGCTGAGGTCAGTGTTATCAAGCTTCACATGAACATTGAGCTAATTCTATATTAGCTGATCGGCTCCCGATTTCTTGATCATACCGGTAGCTACTCGACCACTGAAATAGCCGAGCCAAGTTCAACATGGCAAGACTGGATCATCGCAGAATCACGCCGCCGAATGTCTTGCCTATGGCTGATCATAGGCTGCGTAATTACCATTGAGAATGGAAAGAAATGTAGTATCTGCAGCGACATGTGCAGCCTTCCCCTTCCATCGAGCAAACTATTGTGGGAAGCGAGAAGTCTCGAGGAATGGCAGACGGAGAAGGCTTTCTTTGATATGAGCTGTCCTATGATTACGTTGGGTGAGCTCGTTGAAGCGAAGACAAATGCGGGGAATCCGGTTGAGGCGCAGAGGCTGCAGAGTTGGGAGATGGGGAGCGATAAGATGGCTGCCATGCTGAACATTGCTGTTGAGTTTGTATGGGGCAACGTTTTATAACGGTTGGCTATCATAACGGGCTTTTCATGTGGTATTACCGTGCGAATCCTAAGGCTCCTGTAGGAGGGGCACCTCTTAAGAGGAAACTCGACACCAATGCGCAAGCACCGATATCTGCCAGCGAGCCCAAGCGTTTACAGCGATCGTCTTCCTTCATCAGCATCCCCTCCTCGTCCGACGAAGATGAAGCCCCCAAAGCCAACTCGTCAGGCCGCGCCAATGCGAAGTCCTCGCCTCAACAACCAAGGTCGAACAAGAATACAATGGCAAACTTTCTAGCCATGGGAAAGCAGAAGCCATCGCAGAACCTGCAGCAAAGGCCACAGCAGATACCATCTCAGAAGCCGCCGCAGAAGCCATCCCCGCCGAAGCCATCGCAAAAGGCGCCACAGATCCAACAGCAAAGGCCACAGCAGAAGCCACAGCACAAGCCATTGCAGGAGCCATCACAGATGCCGCCGCAGATTCGACAGCAGTTCCACCGGTAGTTCCTACAGGAGGCCCTACAGCACATCCAACATGTGATCCTACCACAGATGCCACGGCAAAGGACACAGCCAATGACGCAGCCAAGGCCACGGCAGATTCCACAACAGATTCCATAGCCGATGCCCTTACTTCCGTCTAATCCCTCGACAAGTGATCTGGCCGACAGTGCTAACGACATCGCGGACGTCGACCTGGTGCCTGAGCCGACTCTATGCAAAGAGCAGCAGGACCTTCTCGATCTCATCATGTCAGGAAGAAATGTCTTCTTTACTGGCTCAGCAGGATGCGGCAAATCCACAGTTCTGAAAGCAGCAGTCAGGAAGCTTCGAGATGCGGGTAAAGTCGTTCACATCACCGCGCCTACTGGTCGAGCCGCACTCGAAGTCAATGGCGTGACTACCTGGTCCTACATGGGTTGGACAACTGACAGTATCAAAGTGGCCCTCGGTGAGCTCAAAGGTAACTCACATCGCCCAACTGTTAAGGCGCGTCTCGAGGGGACGGATGTTCTTATTATCGATGAGATCAGTATGGTTGAAAACCATCATTTCCAGCGCATGAATGAATGTCTCAAGAGTGCCCGATGCTGGTCACCCCAACATCGCGACTCCTGGCCAAACGCTCCAGCATTTGGCGGCGTCCAACTTCTTGTCACCGGCAATTTCTGTCAGTTACCTCCAGTCAAGCCTTTCGAATACTGCATGTATTGTGGCAAACACACCATTGCGGATGATAAATGGTCTCCGACTGAGTGGAACTGCGGCCGGGGGCCATCCTGTGGTCCATTTTATGTCGAAGACCAGTGGGCCTTCAGGAGCCGTGCCTGGGAAGATGCCAATTTCGCTCATGTTCATCTGAAGGAGATTCATCGTCAGAGAGATAAGTCTTTTGTGAGAATGCTTCAAAAGTGTCCATTTGGCATACCGTTTTCGAAAAAAGAGGTGAAGATGCTGCTCAAACATGACCCCAACGATCCAGACGCGACAAAGCTTTTTGCCTACAAGAAGAGCGTACAGGCAGAGAATCAAAGGAGTTTCAACAACTTGCCCGGGCGCGGAACCGTCTATAAAGCCATTGACGGCTTCGACTGGAGGCCACAACACACAGAACTCGAACATTACAAGCAAGACACGCGACAGGATAAATATTCGGATATCCCGTATGTGGATATGACTAAAGAACAGTGCAAAGACAGTCCCTTGGATGCATACGTCGAGATGAAAGTCGGTGCACTGGTCATGCTCAAGATCAACCTCGATACAGAGAAGGGCCTCGTCAACGGAAGCCAAGGCACCGTCATCGGTTGGGAATCCCACGACCCTGCCAAACTCCCAAACTCCAAAAAAGGCACTCTCTTGAATGTAGATGTCCTAGCCGGTCACCATGCCGACTGGCGAGCAAAGAAGATCAGGAGATACGCAGAGAAGCGCGGTATTCAGCGATGGCCAATCGTTCGCTTCCAAAACGGTACTACACGCACGATTTATCCATGGTGCATGGTCAACACGCTCGGAGCAACGACGCCCTACTCGGTGCTATACAGGACACAACTCCCGCTGGTTTTGGCGTGGGCAGTTAGTATTCACAAGTCTCAGGGCATGACGTTGAATCGCGTCACCACGGATCTTTCGCAAGCATGGGAGCAGGCATTAAAGTATGTTGCACTATCGCGCGTGACGAGCCTTGCCGGCCTTTCCATCCTCAAGCCTGGAAAGAGGGATGTGACCCGTGAGGATTCGTTGGAGGTGATAGAGACGTCATCCCATGAAGTCAGGCAGTTTCTTGAGGAGAAGTTTGGCAGACAGCTGTTCAGAGACCTGGAAGAGGATAGATAAAGTACAACCCTGTATGTAAAGCAAGGAATAGTTTTAATCAATTGCTTCAACCATTCACTGGGCCAGATAACGTATTTGAGACTCGCCATGTCTCAAAGCTAAGTGTGTATCGGCTTCTGTTTGGCATTGATATCCCGGCTCCTGACAAGGGTAGGCTAGGTCAGGTGCGAGACGCCACTTCGCGCCCAGGGTTTGGTACAAAAAGGTTGACCCCCCCCTTCTTTTTCATTATCAATGGTTTCTATGTGTGTTCGCAACCTGAAGCTTAAGCTTATAGGCGGCAGTCAACTAGGTAACTACTAATATACCTGCGTGCTATGTATGAGGTGCTCCCTAGTCCCCTCTTCGCCGGAGGCATTCACTCACTAACGTCATTTGCAGATGCAGACACAACCCATGCCCAGCATGAGAGGTCAAACCTCTCCAACTGACCTTCCCACTCCGCCGCCCCAGGGAAGGAAGAGAAAGGCAAGTGATACTGCTACGACAAACGAGAGCGCCGATCAATCACAAATTCTTCCTTTTACACAAACGGACTGAGCGCGAATTATCATTCATCAGCATTTCATCCGGCGACGGCCACGAAGATGATGCCCAACATGATCCACAGGCACCGCCTGATGTTCAGCCCGTCATCAATACTGAGCCAACGCTCTCCGCTGAACAACGGCAACTAGTCGACGCCATTGTTCACGGCCAACGTAACGTATTCTTTACTGGCTCAGCTGGTTGCGGTAAATCTACCGTTCTCAAAACTGCCATTCGAGAGCTGAGGGAACGGGGAAGCAGAGTCACCATCTGTGCACCCACGGGCCGCGCAGCTGTGCAAATTGGCGGCATGACTACCTACTCTTATATGGGATGGGCACCTAAATCGTTTGAAGAAGGAATAGCCGGGCTCAAGAAGGCAAGTTGGAAAAAGACTGTAAAAAGGCGTCTCAGAAGAACAGACGTGCTGATCATCGATGAGATCAGCATGGTCAGTAGCGATTTCTTGAACCGCATGAATGATTGTTTGAAAGAGGTGAAATGGGGAAGAGAAGCTGGCGCCCCAGCTTTTGGCGGCCTCAAACTCATCGTTACTGGGGACTTTTGCCAGCTGGCCCCCGTCAAGCCTTTCGAGTTCTGCTACGTATGTGGTGCCCGTCTTAAGCCCAACGAAGCACTTGGTATATACAGATGTCCCAAATTCAGTGGCCATGGATCCTGGGCGGATGAGGACAAATGGGCCTTCAGAAGCGCTGCATGGGCTGAGGCCAACTTTGCTTGCTTCAACTTGACCCAGATTCATCGTCAGAACGACCCGGTGTTTATGAGAATGTTGCAGAAGTGCAGACTGGGATTTCCCTTCACCGACAACGATATTGACCTTCTTATGAATCACGACTGCGAGGTTGAGGATGCGCCACAGCTCCTCTGCACAAGGAACGAGGTCGACCCTATCAATAAAGACAAATTCAATGCAATCACGGGATTCCAGAAGAGGCAGTATAGAGTCCTTGATGGTTTTGATTGCAGAGAGCGACATGCCCACGAGTTCGAGCGTTACTTCGAAACGCTACCCGATACTACACTAAAGGTTCATAAAAATCACCAGCTGGAACTAGTCGTGAACCTCAAGGAAACAATGCAGGTCATGCTTCAAGTGAATCTGGACATCCGAGCTGGACTCGTCAACGGAAGCCAGGGTGTTATCTGCGGTTGGGAGAAAATCGACTTGGTGAGATTGCCAGAACTCACAGGTGAACACTCCGATGTCAGACAACACTTTGTCCGGCTGTTTACTATTCAACACTTGAAGCTCCACCCAGATGCGGAAGACCAATTCTGGCCAGTCGTGAGGTTCAACAACGGACAGACTCGGACAATCTACCCATGGTGTGTAGCAAACGCCGTCGGCCTTGATGCGCCTTATTCCTTCTTACACCGAACGCAAATACCTCTTGTTCCTGGCTGGGCTATTACTGTCCACAAGAGTCAGGGCATGACTCTCGAGCGTGTTATTGTGAACTTGACCTCGGCCTTTGCGGAGGGGCAAGTTTATGTCGCACTGTCGAGAGCGACCAGTCTTCGCGGCCTGAAGGTTACAGGCAGTGCACTGGGTCTAACGGTAGGAGAGGGAGGGAATGAAGAGGTTCGTCAGTTTCTTGGTGACACTTTTGGCACTGGGATATTTGAACAGCTTCAAGATGAGGAACACGATGAATCTTAGAGGGGCACGGAGCTGCGGTATGGGACAGTTATTGAATCTGTGTTCCTTGATGTACAGGATTTGTATTAGTACTTGTACGTGAATAATGTTATGTTTAAGCGGCCTTGATCATCATCTGTATTTCGTAGCACTTACGTGATGGTATGAATTAGCCAAAGATGCATTGATCCGAGTCTAAATCACGAAATATATGTCCAGGGGGAAGTATTCCTTATAATACAGAGACCCGCTGTAACCCGATTTGTTCTCAAAATTGCAACATGTTTACTTAGATGTCTCCAATCTATTCATTTGTAACCTCCTCATCCCCACGATGGTAACCTAGCCTTGGGTAAGGAGTGGGATACTTGTTGTCATTATCACTTACCCATCGAGGATAATCAGGATCCTGCCCCGAACCATAAGAAAGGATGTGTTTGTGTGGTTTGAAGACTTACGTTGTCAAAGAAAGGATGCTTTGAGCCAGTATCCTGAAGTTCCTGGCGCCACTCGCTCTCTGGCAAATGTCGTCTTTTGCACCAGATACAACGCGGCACTGTTCTGTGCGAGACCGTCTTGTCGCAAGTACACCAAAACTGGAGCGAGTCGTCAGCTTATCTCAATGTTGCTAGTTAGAGTTCTCACTGCTCGGTCATGCGCATGATCTTGAAGTGTTTTTGTAGGCTCAAAGTCATCTCCGTAGTCCATATCCTCCCTCACAATCCAATTCCCATCCAACTCTGTTTGCTGCTCAAAGTACTTCCACACGGCTTTGCGCTCCTCCTCTTCACATCTGACGCAAATCCAGCGTGTATAGATATCGCAGTCACATCTTTCATTCAAGAACTTCCCCTCCACCTCTTTCTCAGTTTTCGCGTCGCACTCCTCGCACAAACACATAATGTTATCAAGCTGGCCGCTGCCTCTCAAATGCGGTCTTCGGTTGGGGTACGTGTTTGGCGGAGCTGCGCGAGGATAGCATCGACATTCTTCGCAGATGTTTATACCGCATTTTAAACATGGCAAAGCACCTGCTTCATCGCATTTGATGTTGTATAGCCGTACTTCAATCTCTTCGTCGCCTTTTAGATGCGGACTCGGCGTCCACTGACCTGCCATGCGGTTCCGGTGATAGGGACTTGCATAGGCTTGACGTGTAGCGAGGCCGCGACCATCGCAGAGGCAATGACGACTGAGAGATTTGAACATCACTGGCGACGATTGGATACACTCGTAAGCTGATCTGCTTGTTAGACTGAGATGATAGAGGTCGAGAGTTGAGAGCCAGGGAGCTAGGGAGGTGAGGATTGAGTATGAGGAGATGAGGTTCTCGATAGTGGAACTAGCATCGCCAGAAGTAGTGGTCGCCATGATTGATTCGATTCTCAAGAAACCTCTGTTTTAGTGAAACTTCTTGTCACTTTGCTATTTATTCGTTAAAAGATTGCCGTAACTCGGCTGTTGCATCACGTGGGTAAGCGATAATATGAGTCAGATGTAACATTGTTACGCCGTTGTCAGACTGCTCCGGTGTTCGGAATGATCAGATAATCCTGACCTGTACTCAATCTCTTGGCGAAATAGAAGTCAGTTATTCCTGTCGCAATTTGTCCGATGTAAATGTGGGATAAGCCGCTTCTTACCCTTGATTAGAGCACTGGTTTGAACCTACGCATGCATCATCAAATGCCCGAACCTAATAGGTTATGGGAAATGACTGACGTCATCTTTTCTTTCAAATCCCACGGCTCCTGTTGGATACATCAAATAACTTGTTGACGTGTTGGAAGACATGAATTGAGTGGAGTTTGTATCCTACAGTCCTACTACACCGCATCTTCTATCCTCTCACCATATGACTAGTAACCATGATCACTGTTCTGTAGCTTTGTGCTCTCTTCGGACACAAGCTCTACAAGCCACTTTCTGTGCTCTTCAACCAGATGTGGACTATGTCCCGATTCGATCTCCAAAGTTTCAGCATCCCAATTCTGCGCCACGACTAAAAGCATCTCCCTGCCAAAAATAGGATCGTTCCTGCAAATCACCATGGTCTTGGGAATCCTCAATTCTGCCGGGGTGCAAACGATAGGAACTTCAAAGGGAGCCTTGCTTTGATGGCAAAGTGTAGGGATAATCTCATCCGCGATGCTCTGATCAATATCTGAGAGGAATGCTTCTTTAGCCCTATCTAGCTTCAATGGCATACGTGTCTCCTAGGTCATGGTTAGTTAGGCGACTTGGGGTGCTGAGTCGAGTATTGGCTTACTGATACATCATGAAAAAATGGCGTCTTGTAATGCTCGCCCGCAGCCTCATACATCGAAATGCCTTTTTGTAGGACAGGCGTTGGGGCCACATAAATCACGGAGCTGAAGCCACCAGGAAGGCTTTTATTCTCTCTTTCTGCAATACTGTAACCTTCAATTGCCACGGTAAGAGGGACAGCTCCGTAACTATGACCAATAGCAATGACTTTCCTCCCATTATAGATGTAGGGCAGAACTGCGTCGTGGATCCTCTTTACATCATCGTGATATGTCTTACCATCGATCGAATCATCGTAGCCAGAACTTGCCAGAGGCGGTGTAAGAGCAGTGAAGCCTTGTTGCTGGAAAGCTTGGATGAGAAGACGGTAGTGGAGAGGTCGATGCCAAGCACCGTGAACCAGAAGTATGACTGGCTTTCGGTCTTTTTCATTCATTTTAGGTATTGTATGAGAGTGAAGATGTTGTTCCGCATGATCAATCGGCTCATGCTGAGGTTATATATGTTAAGAGCCAATAATCACGGAATCCTTCTTCGGACGAAACCTCCGACTTCGCACTGATCCATCTACGATAAGCCATACAGTCAGATCCTTCGCTACTTTTCGGATGGATATTCGGACGAACTTGGGGCGCGTCAGCGTGCTGACAAAAACACGGATATGCTGTCATCAGTAGCTGGGGGGTTTCCCTGTCTTCTCAATCGCATGGCATCGGTTAGTCACGGCAAACCGGTTATGCCTTGACGGTGTCCTTCAGACCCACGGATGTATATTCCACCATAATCTCAATAATGAACACGAATTTAAACCTCTGTGCCATAGGGATCTACGTACCGTCTCTCGGAATTTTCACAACATCAACTGGAGTAGCAAAACCGGGATGCTTCCCTCTTGTTTTCTCACCGAGGTTCCGATAGAAATGCTAATCTTGGAAGAAACCTAGAGACCTCACCTGTGCTCAGTGACTGCACTGCCATCCGTCTCCTTGCATCCCTGATCACCATCCTCGTCAAGTGGACCATTATACATGAACATGCCGCAGAGTCATAGTGGCCGGTGTGTCGACCACTATTTGGGGCAATGATGGGATCATCGAGATCCCTCATAGAAGTCACGAATGATAAGCGGGAGTGTAGGTGGGCATACCCCGCGGCAGAAGCTGAAATGCATTCACAAAATCCCGGCGAATGATCAGCGCTCCCAACTACCAATAGAACTTCGTTGGCAGCTCGGCACGGCCCGGGCGCAGCTGAACTATTGGTAGCCAGCTGGCAATGGATAGTCAATCAACAGAGCTAATCGAGATTATGGAGACTACAACACGTTCTTACATCACTCGACCTGCGCGTCCCCTCGTTTGAAGATCTGCGATGTGTTGCTTGAAAGTGGCTGAGATGGCTGAGCTGAAAAACGACGATCTTTTCCACTGTCTGCACAGACAAGGACGCCATGGAAAGGCTACTCACCATCAGGTCTACATAATCAGCTTGCGACCCAAGCCGTGTCTTAGTTCAACACAGCTTGCAGCCATTGATGTGAGGCGCATAGCGCCATCAGTAATCGGAAAGCCACATAGCCGAGACATATTCCCAGTGCCCTAATTGTGTCACATTTTGTATCTGATGTCAGCAGCTGATCTGTCATGCTTCTGGCTACAAGAACTATGCCGCTCTGCAGCTATTATCATGGGTATGTTGCGCCAACGAGTTCTGGCCAAGCTACATGACATACATGCATATTTGATACGTGTCATGAGTATTGAGTGACATATTCTGTCACTTTATCGTCCCGTGTCTCATTAATTTGCCTTATTCAGCCGAGAAGAAAAATCGCGCCAATATTACTACATGGCTGTCTGTTGAATCGGCTCCAGTACTTTAAATGAAACTTGAATTTCACAAACCTCGACTACCGTTCCTCAAAAACCAATACCGCTAGATCAGATAGTTCCCTTCTTTTCCAGTCACCATCTCCGCCCGTTCGGTTTAGAAAGCTTTCTTCTGATATTAGCACACTTTAATTGGTCCAACAGAGCTAAGGCTATGGCTTCCGCGGCTTTTCGGTGGCATCTTCGGATTGGACTGCTCATTATGATGACTGCCAATCTCGTCTTTGCCAATGGAAGCAACGATGGCTTGCAGCACATCCTCCATACTAAAGAAGTTTCTCCTCAGATTATCACAGGTCAATACGATCCTGCCCGAATCAGCATCAATGATACCACTGGCCACGTATCATGGAACTGGACGAAGATCGACTTCGTTAACCAAGATATACCAAAGAAACTCAATGAATGTCTACAAAATGGAGGCTCCGTGACAGATGTCAAATGGGCGAACCACGGTAGAAGCGTCGTCGCGGTCTTTGCTTATGCAGTTGTGGTCATCAACCATTATCCTGATGAGCCATCCAAGGACAAGACTATAACCTTCGGTATGTGCTTGGACAAATTCGGGCTAGGAGGGACCCATGGCATTGAGCCTCTACCCGATGGGAAGCTCGCTATAGCAACAACTTCCTACGAAACAACAGGAAATATCAAGATCGTCAACACGTCCTTGGGTACATCAAACCCATATCCAGGCTTTCTTCAAGAGCTTGATGGTATCCCTGCGGTGCATAGCCTTGTATGGGACCAAGTAACAGAAAGTCTTTGGGCCGTCGGGAATGACCTCCCTCCTCAAGGAAAGCCTCCCTCAAAAGCTCAGCTCAATCGCTATGAGTATAGAAACGGTTCATTCTCTCGGAAGCCCTCTCAAGTCGAGCCCATTGGCCCTCCCAAATTACTCAATGAGGAATGGGATGATTCATGGTGGGATGGAGGACATGATGTAACGCCTGTGCCTGGCCAACGACTCCTCCTTATCTCTACAGATCTGGACCTTCACCTCTTTAATTTGACTTCGGCCTCATTCCTACATGGAGAGGAAGTGTTGAAGCAGCCGTTTATGCAGGGATTCAAGCCAGTCTTCTCTCATGAGAAGAATCTGCCCCGGGCTGATGTCAAGTCATTGAGCTTGCACAAGAACTCCGGAACACTTTATGTACAGGCTGATTGGAAAGGCTACTTCTCAACTCATGTCAATTATCTTGCAGTCGGAGCAAAGGCTCCAAGAAACATCTCGTTCTCGCAATCGGTGTATCGGTCACGCTGGTTTTCACCCGTTGCTGGATGGTCCGTTGAGTAGCATTTTACCGATGGAATACTTAATCTGCCTGTCTTCTACTATGTAGTGAAGATTTTAGATACTGGACACTGGATTGCCCCCTTTTCCGCCAGATCCAACTAGCGGCTGTACCAGTGAATCTACTATTATTATTAGTAAAATGTTTCAACGGCTGAGCTTATATCTATGGCCCTATGTCTGGCAGTTAGTTGTCTTACTTCAGCCCTCAGCACAAGTTCAGGAGATGCCCAACCAGACACAGTTTGTAACCGTGAACCGACTCGGCTTTCCGCGGTATCTTTACAAACATCCACACATGTCACAGATTGTGAGTTCCGTACAACTGATACCATTTATTGGTTGGTACTGTTGATGAAAAGTCCGAGAATCTGTTGAACTAGTGCAATCGCTGTCAAAAGACCCGCCATTAGTGACACACACCACGAAGGTGGTGTCCGGAAGAGAGTGAGTTGTTATATACACGCCATATGTATTTTTGTGTAAGATTACGTACCCCGGTTGATTTGTCCGGCGTCCCCTCCTTTTCCCTGTCACATTTCAGACCTGACGGAGCGGAATGAGTACATGCAATACAAAAGTCCTACATGGCGCATTTATACGTCAGGTATTGGTGTTCGGATTCCTGCCGTGTCTGAAGGAAGGCCTCAGATGCAGAACAAGACATTTACGGCAAGAGAGGATGTCAGCGGCCAGCCACAAACCCCAAGTGCGTCGGGACAGTTGACGCAATGCCCCTGACTATATTTTCTCGTAATATATAAAGACCCTCAAATATCTGGGCAGAACAAAATATCCCTATGCACTACTCTACAGAGATTAGAGAAAGCCTAGACTCTATAATCAGCATACAATCTAAGCAAAATTCTGTCTTGTTTCTTTCATCATGGCCGACACATCTATCGAACAACACCCCGGTACTGAGCGAAGCCATGCACCACCAGAATTACCAAACATATCCCCACGCAATGACAGCTCAGACACTAGTCCACAAGCTCGTGATGCTTACTCTCCACCCACTGGAATAGGCTACACGGCAACCTCTGCACTTCCAGCACGGATGCAGACTGAAGCAGGCTTCTACAAGACCTTCATCGTTGAGGTTGTCATAAATGGAGTCTATGACCAAGCTTCAAACTCCAACAAGATCAAGAAGCCAAACTGGCCTCGGGGAAACTTTGAGTACTTGCATTCACCACTCAGAGATGTCCTGGGGACCTTTGCCAGTACCTCAGTGTTCTACAATGACACTGAAGACACCAGTGGTAACACATACATCGACTCGCCAAGCCCATTTGTCCATAATGATGGGCAGAGTACATACATGTGGTACAAAGAAACAGACCAGAATGCCTACCTGGCTTTCAACATCAAATCCCATAAGTATATCTTTGTCGATCCAACGCTGCCCATCAGAGCACTCTATTTCCCCCAAATCTTCCAAGACCCCAGTTACCCGGGCTTCAGCAGACTTGGGACCATTCAGTTTCACAAGTTCTCGGCGCAAGGCTTGACCCTAAAGAACTACTGGGACAATGAGCCCATTCATTTGGACATCACCAACGGTCGGGGACTGGGTTACTCTGGAGCAGCTCTATGCTTGAATGTTCAATCAATCATGGCAGCACTGTGCATTCCGGAGGATAGGGTCGCTCGCCGCGCTGATGGCACGCATATCTGCTTCGAATCCATTTGGCTGCTTCGAGAAGCAGCTTCGCTCAGTGTGGCAGACAACTCTGTTACTCAGTGGGATTCAGGAGACTTCCACAGAAAGGGCAACGATTGGACGTCGATTAATGAAGGAATCCGCTTTGTCTATGCTCCTCTTGATAAATCGGCATGGTCAAACTTTGTCAAGCAGATTGTCGGAGCAGGACTTGGTCTGATTCCTATCCTGGGTCCACTTCTAGCACTTAACTGGGATATCATATACTCATACCTGGATGACCCGGCAGGGTTTGCCGACTACGCTCATATCGGTAAAGAATGGTTGTCTATCTTGAAGCTCCAGGCAGCAGAGCTCAAGAAGGCAATCAAGTAAAGATGGATGAATGGATATGTCTGGACCGTTGTATGGAGTTCTCTCCAGGAGTTTAAGCTCGGCCGGTCTTGATAAGGGGTGTTTTCCCGTTGTATTTCTCATCCGTGTGAGGTGCGTTTGAGGCCCGTGATGTAAACCATCAGCCATGGGGTCTATCAACTCAAGTATTTCTCATTATTTTGTCTCAGTTCAGGAAATGAGTCTATTAGTAACCTTTATGCACATTAAGTTTGTTTCACTTGAGATACACCGCCGTGATTATGACCTCTGGTGTCCAATATTCACAACGGTACGCCCGTTGTTAGTAATGAATAGCATCAGGCATGAGAAGACAGCTTCTTCAGAAGTTGTTATGATAATCCTTGACACTGTCCAATATCATAAAAGGGGCCTGTTTCATGAGTCAATACTTGTGAATCCGTGCATGTCTTTACTGGTGGCTATTTTGACATCTCACCTGTAGGTGATTCACTGTAGGTAACCAATTGTTGTATTACTTCGAGATCACGTTGACTCTTTCACTCCAGCTCCAATATGATACACCTACAAAAGTCGGAAAGTATATAAGCCAAGCTTTCAGCAATCTCCCAACGTATCTTCCCACAACCTCCACAATATATGATATTATAAGCACCACCATCCTCAACTATTCTCACGAAATCCACATTAGGAATAAGAAATCTTCTTTTTCTATTAAGCATAAGGAAACCATGTGCACTACTACGTATATCAGATACTGGGGTTATTGTGGCCATTTGATAAGCACAGAGACCGTTGACAAGTTCTGTGACAAGGAGCGATGCGTCAGAGACTATGATTCGAAAGACCCACTCGTCTATAAGGAATGTGGCCCCTGTGAGGAGGCTCGGAAGAAGGAGGAGGAGGAGAAGTTGAAAGCACTGGCTGAGTCATGATGAGATGTGCGGACGTGGGTTCGGAGGTTCGGAAAGTTCCTGAGGTGTAGAAGATTGATACTTATCTAAACCACCGTCGTTTTATTTTTTATCACCCGCATCTTGTCAGTGTGAGCTATGTCAGTGATAACATGCCTGTCAAGGTATATAAACCAGGCCTTGGGCCGTCTCTGCCAGGAAATGAAAAGTCAAAACTCTTAACATACCAGAAACACATAAAAGAAAACTAGTTACAGATAAAACTTTGATGCAAATATGTGCAGAACAATACATACCTCATCTTTGTGTCAAGTATGCGCCCACACGATCGGGTTTGAGAATAGACGGGGTGCCATGCAAGAACCCAGGGGATATGGAAAAAGGATGCACTGCAGAGTTTGAGGAAAGGACTGATTATATCTCTTCTGACTTTTGCCAGAAGTGCGAGGAGACGAAGAAGAAGCAAAGCGAGAAATGAGGACTTTAGTTGATAGCTGGAATGAAGTGCGGACTGGTCATTCTGTATCGATTTGATGAAAAATATCTTTCAATAAATACAGTTGCGTGATACTAAGCGTTGAATAGTCATTGTGCCTTCCTCCGTGGTTTTACATATCGAGACCTTATTGGAGAAACGTGGGCATATTCACAGCCCAGCGAGCAGTATTAATTCAACCAGATGCTCGCTTTCTGACACACCATATCTCAAACAAATTCCATCAATCAAGTCTTCAACCATAGGAAGCAATAAGTAGCCCCCCACTGTGATATCTACTACTGCCGTCATGTGTAAGACAGTAAGCATCCGATATCAATGCGAAGATTGCTGGACCCTCGGCCATCACGATACGACTGTGACGCCTTGCGAGACACCACGGCACAGGAAGAAATGTAAGTCTGAGGTTAAAATAGTAAATGAGTACTTCTCTCCAATATGGTGTTCTGTTTGCGCGGAGAAGAAACGGAAGGAGAAGAAGTGACTTGAATCACTACAGGAATTAAGGAGTTGGTCACAAATACTCTATTAACAGACCAGAAATATTCTCTGCCCAGCGTCTTCTAGACTCACGAGTGAAGGATTGTACGAAATTTATTCGGTGTAGCTATTGTGATCAGCTCGAATCATGGGCAGTCAGCTTCCGCGGGCATAAATACGGCACTGTTTCTCTCGTAGATCTCGAAATAAAGCCATCGGACAGATCTAGTACCCCCAAGATGTCGATATGGGTACCAAATTCGTTACCACGTGTCCTACCACCTTCGTGAAATACTACTGCAACGAGAAGAAATGCGACTGCTTGATTGGATACAAGCAGAGCGAGACGCCTTACGACGAGAAGAAGAAGTTTCCGCGAGCGAAATGCAAAACCGTGATCGATTCGAGAGATGAGTATATGGACTCGAGAGAATGCCCGAAATGTGTTAAAGCGATGGAGAAGAAAGCAGAGGTGGTTGTTTGATGATGACTGGTCCCTCCGGCTTTAGAGTGGTCAGCTACCATGGTGAGATTCGATGAGGGCGAAGGATCAAGTTCGCAGTTTCAGGAATAGCTTCAAATCAGCCAGCCGCCAAGCAACGACCACTTGATAAGTCTTCCTGCCCTGTCGTACTTTAGAGGCAGCATAAATTGATGATGACGGGGGCGGCATAAACAATGTTCTCCATTCCGACTATTTGATTCGCATAATTAATCATTGAAAGCTCTATTCATGCTGCCGCGTACTTGATGTGAGAAAACACGTAAGCTCACCATATGGAACTCACCCGATCCTCCGTTGATCATCGGAAGTCGGCGATCCAAGTCTCACGTCAGTCTCTCTGAATCCTTCAGCACTCCAAAGAATCAATCTCTCCCTCTGTTCCTTCCAAATATTCCAACTGTCGCAATACTAGTCAGTCAATATGCTGTTTCAAGACCTAGCAACAGAGATTATTGAACTGATCGTACAGAATTTGACAGTGCGCTCTGACCTCAACGCCTTCTGCCAGACCAACAAACGATTCCACCTCATTGCCAACGATCTTGTCTATCGTGAGGATGCGCACTGGCGGTGCAACGCGCTCCGATGGGGTTCTGAAGAGGGCCTCGTTTCAGTGGTAGAGAGATCACTTGGCCAAGGCGCTGACGTCAACTACATCATTAATTGCGACGACGAGACTGCCCTATTCCCAACAGTCCGGAAACAGCACTGGGATATTGTTCATCTACTGCTGGCGAGAGGTGCTGATGTTCACCGCAGGAACAAGGTTGGGGATAATCTTGTCTACTTTGCGGTAACGACTGGCAATTATGATCTGGTGAATCTCATGCTAGATCAAGGTGTTGATCCCAACTCTCATGTGAAAGGCGATGTTCCTCCCTTGTTGCTGGCAGTGCGAAGAGGGTATCTCGATATCGTGAGATTGCTCTTTGATAGTGGGGCGTACATTGATGATAGCGACGACTGGGGCGAAACGCCTCTGCATGTCGCCGTGGGTGCATCTCAACATGATATCCTCAGTTTCTTTATCGAGAAAGACGTTTTCCGCGAGGACAAGGCTGGGGCCCGAGGTGCTGATGCACTGGAGATGGCTGTCATACGAGGAGACATGCCAACATTAGCGCTGCTTCTTGAGGGCGGCGCTGACCCACTTGTTCGGAGGTGGACGAGGCATCATGCGATTATCACGGCGGCACTAGCTCGGGAAGATGATATGGCAATCTTGATGACAGAAAGACTGGTAGGAGAACCCGGTTTCATTGGTGAGCATGGCAAGGAGTTGCTCTGGTATGCTGTCAAAGGAAGATGTCAACGGTATACTCGCTATCTGTTGAACAAGGGTCTCGATCCGGATAAGGATCTATGGAAGGAAGTTGATGGTTCAATGGTGGGAGGTTCTGCCCTGGTAGTCGAGATGATGGGCGCTGGTGTATTAACAGCATGAAACGGAATTGGGGACGGCGGGAAAGCGGTTCATCACAAGGAAACAGAAACGGAGTATGATGAATACCTTCTTTATTCGAGAATCGCTAGTTAAGCAAATACAAAGAGATGCGCTAACTTTCAACGTCAAAGTTCTTTTCTAGCATCAGCAACAATGCAATTGCTGCCTTGACCTAGTCCCACTACCAATCTCAAGATCGCTTTTTCTTGATATTTTCATGAAGATCGTTAAGCCACTTCTTGAGCTCTTTTTCTTCCTCCTCTAACTTCTTTTTCTTCTTGTCCAGCTTTTCCAGTTTCTTTTAGACATCTTTAAGGTCAGCGAACCCTTTATTCCACATAACCTTTATATTTAAAACCTTTATAACTTATTTAATATAGAAGCTTTATTTAACTAAAAACTTAATCCTAATTATAACTAAATCTTTAATAAGCTTTTTTGCCTAATATTACTAGCCTATTTAACTTTTCCTAGCCTAGCTTATAACTTTTTAAATAGTATAGTTATTATTAAGGATAATAAATATTTATTTTTTTCTATAAATCTATTATAGTATATACTTAAGCTAGATTATATAGTACTTTATTAATTACTACTATTTTATTATTTAATAGCTTTTTTAGTTTATATTAAAAAATATCCTTTTAGTATTATAAATTATTATAATATTACTTATAGGTATTAAATATAAAGTAAATAAGGCTTATAAAGATAATATCTTTAATATTACCTTTTTAAATCTCTTTATAAAGCCTTTTATAGCTATTTTAGCTATTAAGATATAGCTATAGCCTTTAAGGCAGGTTTATAATATTATAAAGTATAAAATATATTAAAAAGTAAAAAGGCATTATAAGCTATTAATTAATTAATTATTATATTAATTTAATTATAATAAAAGTTATTTTAAGAGTATTATCTTAAGTTAATAAACTTATTTATATTAAATAGTTTACTTTTAGGTATTTTATATATTTTAAGCCTAATTATCTTTATAGATAAGTAATAGCTATTTATTTATATACCTTTAAAGTTAATTATTAAGATATCTAGCTTTTAGCTAAAAGTAAGATTTTAGGTATTAATAAAGGCAATAAGTATTTTACCTATATATATTTTTTTAGTATTCTTTACCTTTATGGCCTTAAGGCTAAAGCCTCTTTTTAACCCCTTAACCCTATCACAGTTCCACATGACTTTCAACGTTCGGACGGTATACATATCACTGAAGCCCATGCTGGAGCTTCTGGTGTCAATTTTCGAAATACTGTTGTCTTTATGCGAGTGTTTCTTCCGTGACTCTTTTTTGTGAGGGTGCTTTTTGCTGGGATCCCTGTTGTGAGACTCCTTCTTGCATGAATGATTCTTGTGCGAGTCCCCCGCAGATCTAGTTTTCTCTTTCGCTCTATCGCTTTTCGGTTCATCCTCTTCAGACCCATCTTCCTGGGCATGTTCCTCCTCAGAGCCAGAGTCAGAGTCCTCACGCTCGTCTTGGGGGAGAAGCTTAGACATGTTTTGAGGTGCATGTTCCGATAATCCGTCAAGCACTCTCTTCTCAGTTGTATTGGTCTCTTGAGTTTCGTTTTCCGCCATATTTTCGTAAGATGATGCAGATGGTCACCAGGCAAAGTGGTGGGTTTCGGCGAAGTTAGCGGGTTTCTTGGTGGAATCGTAAATACGACATCTGATGTACAACTTTGAGTGGTCAGGGAGGCTTTCATTTATACTTCAACTTGTTCCCAAGATTCCTTGCGATTCACGACTAGCCAATTCAAGCTCTTGTTCATCGCCAATATTTCCCCAGAAGCAGATTTCTCGGGGACACCTAATCACCGTGTAGTCAATTAGCTACCGTCATCTCTTTATCACTAACCTTCCGGCAACACCAGTGGCCAGATCCTCGTTGTACTCATTGCCACGGTGTTGCTGAGAAGCCGCCGCTAATGTGAGCTGAACTATTCGGCTGGCAAAAACAAGCCACCTTCTGAAGAAACTGCAAGTCCATACTATATATGCGTATTGCGATGTTTTGGGGGCCGCTCACCTCTATCAACACGATATATAGCTTTTCACTGCCAGACATGCTCCGAATCAAACTCACCCTGAAGTAATAAAAGGCTCTCTATTTATGCTAGGCTATAAGCTTTAAATCTGTAATTCTACCCATTATAATATCCCAGCTATTATATTATACCTAAAGTGTATTTTCTAACCTTATAATTAACTTATAAACTTAATACTACTATAACCTTTTAATTTTCCTAAACTTTTACCTTAATAGCTTTAATATATATATTATTATAAAACTTTCTATTAAGCTTTTTTTATATATTAATATTTCTTAATAAACCTAATAATTATATATTATATTTATAAAAAGTTCCTTTTAGTAAATTACTATTTATACCTTAAATATAAATATAATTTAAGTTTTATTTCTTTAAATTAATTATTTAATTATTTTTTAAATTACCTTTTTTAACTTTAATAATTTATTTAATGCCTTTTCTTTTTATTAAGTAATTAAAATAACTTTTTTAAGAAATTTATTAAAAGCTATTATAAAAAGATAATTTTATAAATAAATAAAGCTAGCTAAATAAGGAATTTATTATTAAACTTATAGAAGTCTTATATATAAATTAACTATATAGTAGCCTTAAAGTCTTTTTTAAAAGAATTATAAATATAATTACTTTATATAATCTTTTTATATATTAATATAACTTTAAATATAATTATAGTTTTATTAATATAATTATTAATATTTATTATTTAATAAAGTTTATATTAATAAAAGATTAATTTTATTAATATAAAAGCTATTATTTTAAAGATTAAAGGTATTTATAATATTAAGCTAACTTTCTTTAATTAATAAATTAAAGAGATATTTTTATATACCTTAAGGCTAGCTAAAGAGTTATTATTTAGGTTTTTCTCTTATTAGCCTTATATTATAGTAATTAATTAGATATTTTAATATAATATTTAAATTATAAGCTAAAAGTATTATTTACTACTAAGACCTATAGCTAAGAGCTTAATCTAGCTGAGAGAAGATAATATCCTAAATATCTATCTCCTCTATAGCCTTTCCATTGCCTTCTGGTGCCTCTTCTTTGTTTCCTTGAGTTTCTCCTTCTCACGATTCAATTTCTGTTTCTTCTTTTCAAGCTTTTACAACTCTGTTCGAAGATCTGTGATGTCCTCTTCAATATCTCTTTCCTCATCATTTCTGCCGCCTTTCTCTAACTCCTCGATCTCCTTCTCGACATACTCTCTATCTTTCCTGAGTTTTTCTTTTTTAAACTTGACTATTTGGAGTTTCTCTTTAGTTTCTTTGATAGCCTTGCCGTGTGCTAGGAACGCGGGAATGTCAAAGAACCGGGGGAAGTTTCTGTTGGGCATTTTGATCGGAGAATATGTATAGTTATTGTGATGTAAGCAGTACCAGAATATGCTAATCAAAAGTGAAGAAGAACCTTATTTATATTTCTTGTGTTGCAACAGCCGGACATTCTATTGGAGTGCAACGGCAAGGAATCGAGGCAACGTTGCTTAGGTATAATCTTCCGCAGCCTTATCTGGGACCTATGCTCATTGAGCCTCCACTCGCTAGCCGTCAATGGATCTTATACATCGTACTCTTCTAAGGACACAGACTTCACCGCTATTGGGTGCTTTATTTCCCTTGACTGTAGCTTCTCACTGTGAGCTACACCAGTGACGGGCACTTTGTCTTGTTCACAGACAAACACATAGCGATTGCACACCAGACATAGTTAACCAAACCATGCACAGCTTACCATTACAGACCATTATCCTTTCACTCCGAATTTGTCTGTTTGTTTTCTTCGACTCATTCTATTCAGTGTTTTGTGCGGCTGACATCTCAGGGTCGAGTCTTTCACGCCTCGGTCACCGGGGACTTGTCGAGCTTAATCCGGCCGAGAGAAGATAGAAAGATAGTCGATGCTGGGCGTCTTCATTTCAAGGTGTGTACAAGAGCTATAAGGACTAAGGACCCTTTTCGCCCCATGGATGTGTCAAATCATTCACCCTGGTATTAATTAGTAATGAAAATGCTCGGTCCTGTTCTCCTACTAACATGAAATCGGAACAGTAATAATCTCTTTATTGCGCGGTCACACGACAGACTTGGGAATTCTGTTTTAGAAGCGACTCACGAACACTTCTTCTCACCTCTTCGCCTATTAGTCTCTGTTCAGCTTCGAGCAACTGTGTTTGTATTAATTCACGCCGTAACTATGCCTCCGTCCTCTTCCCCGTGCCTACTACCTTCTCTTTTCTTTCCTCTGGTTTTCGATCGGACGTCTCACGTAAGGAGTTTGGTGTATCTCATGGCCCAAGGCGGCAAAGAAAGAGGGCCGTCCATAGATAGGTGTAGCATCTATCTTTTTCTTGTGAGACCCATCCTTCCTTGATGTTTTGTGCGAGTCTCCTTTGTCAGAGTCCTTCCGGTCACGGTCTGGCCTCCGTGGTTCCGATCTGTGTGAGCCCTTTTTGTCAGAGCTTGACCTATGAGAGTCTTTCTTCTCAGACGTTGATCTGTGAGATTCAGATTTTCGTGAGTGGTGAGATTTCTTCTCGCTATAGTCCGTGCTGCGATGATCTCTTCTATGAGACTCGCCTCTGTGAGATCCTCCTCTATGACTGTCTCCCCCGTGGGAGCCCATTCTTCTGGAGTCTTTCTCTCTTGGGCGCCTGGTTGATGAGCTTTCATCGAAGTGAACCCGACTTCCAGTCTGGCTTTCTAGATCGTTTGCCCAGGGTACGTTGTTTTCATATACTTGCTCTTGAGGCATGCTTTTTCGATACTTGCCCTTGTCAGGTCTAGATTGCTCGTTCACCTGCATATTGTCCGGCACGTCCTGGGGAATGAATCGAGGTGGATCTTCGGCCGCGGACTCTGATGGGACATCGCTGGGCTCGTTCTGAGGTTCATACACGACCATATCGGTGGCCGCATTTGCATCCAGGCTCTGAGGTGCATTGCCTGTTGCAAAATTCTCCGAGGGATTATTGTCTTGGGGGTTGTCTTCCGGCATGATGTCGTCTGGAGAGGATGCGAATAGGGATAGTATTCCGTGTAGGTAATTTGTCACTTGAGTATGTGTCGGTAGGAGATCTAATGCAGAACTCAGTGGCTATCCGGAATCTCGTCTTGATATAGCAGTACACCGCGCTACTTGCGTTTTGATTCAGTACAAGTGACCTGCGATACGCAATGAATCATGCAGAAGTTTCAGTTCCTTGCAACTAATCAGCATCGTGTTTGACTGTTTCACTGGGCATTTCCGAAAGTCATAGGTGACGAGGTAAGGAGCTCCTCGGAGCTTCAGAGCCTGCAAGTCGTACGTATCAGCCCGTCACTTACGGCCCAGGTGGTAGCTACGTTGACAAGACTCCTCGAACAGAGTTTGACGATCCTTTTCAAATCAGTTAATCTTTCTACAACCCGCTCAAAGTTAAACTCTTATTTCTTTCCACGCCATGTGACTGTAGCTCTTAGCGAACCTCCTACGAATCGGCTGGTTTGTCCTCTATCATATTTGCAACAACACAGAGTCACAGCACTTTCCCCTATAGACAGAACGATAGAAACATCTAGCTGAACTCAGTGACTCTTTTCGCTCACCTCAGCCACACTTTTCTTCCTCACTGGATATTCATTGGTCTTATCAGTGCCAAAGGTCTTTACCTTAGTGGGCCCATCAGCGTCAGGAAGTAGTGTAGCTGTAGCTGTCGCTGAAGACTCAGCTGTTGTCCTGTCCACAGTGTTCCTCTTTCTCCAAGGTTCTACCAAAGTCACCGTTTTGGACTTCAGTGGACGTTCAATGCGCTTTTGTTTCCCCTATCTGGGATTGTCTATAATATAGGTATACCACTTCTCAATTTATCAGGATACAGGCAGTATCATCTCAGCAATATTCGCTTTTACCCCAGACCACTTCATATTGCGTCGTAAGTGGAGCCCTTTGTGTGAAATTTCTACTTGAACTGCAATTGACTTTGTCTCGATTTGAGCTAGATTGAATTGGAGGAGAAGCTCTGGGCTTTTTACCTCGGTGGATGATAGCTGCTTTCCTCCCAGCTCTCACAGCTCTGCAACTCTTCGTTCCTCATCCGATCTCCAAAGATTGCTCTCCGACGGCATTCCTCCTCAACATTCTTTCTCCAAGTTTCCCAACCCATTTTCATCACCTCCAACCCATGTCGTTTGTCCTTTAGCCTATTCAACTTTAAGCCTCGATCGGCACTGGTATTTTCGCTGCTCCGTAATTGGCGAGTCCCACTCTGTACCGCCTTCCGCGATGATCCTCCTCCTTTCTGTCGGATGACACTCTCGAACTTTTTGTTCTTCTCTTCTAGAGTCTCCTTCGCCCGGCTGACTTCATCAATCTCCTTCTCAGTGTTAATGATCTTCCTCTGCAGCTCATTGATATTCTTCCTCGCGCGGTTGAGATCTTTTTTCAGTTTTCTGCTTCGTTGTTCATGTTCATCACGAGATGGGTCCTCCTCCACTATAATTATCGCTCGGTCGGACATGTTGGATTGAGGATTGTTTAAAGTCTTGAGAAGGGGTATTCTTTGTTGTAACTTGTCGGTAGCTTGTTGAAATGATGAGTTTACTGCCACCTAGTGGAATGAGCCTCGCATCCTTATAGTGAGGGCATCCGTCATATAACATGAATCACAATGGCTCTTGGTCTTGTTCACTGATCATTGCCCACCCTTACAGCTTTGAGATGGTAACGAACAGCCCCTGAGTGGTCGTGTCCATCACGAGCAGCTACAGTCTGTGTGCACTGAACATTTGGCTCAACCAAGAATCCACTACAATGACCGAATCGAGACTCAACACTTGGTAGTTCCAATAGCTCATGTCAAACACGTCAGAATAATCACATAAGTCCTAATGCAAGTCCCGTTCTATTCTTCTATTCTTTTCTTCGCATTCTCGTCAGCTATCGGATTTTCTCAGACGCGCAACAAAAGGTAACAGTGGCAAAATAGCAGACTTTCTGCTAAGACTAAATAATTATAAGGTCCTTCTATAGGATTTCAGTCAAGTTAGAGTCAATAATACAACCTTCAAATTCAAGTGCAGCTGCTTCTCTTACCTAGTCTCAACTGTACTTGCTCTTCTTCCAATCCTCATACCGCAAGCCCTCCTCGCGTCTCATCCACTCCTCAAACCTCATCTCCTCTTGTCTAGTCTTTAGCTTCTCTCTGTAAACCTCCCACTCCCTTATCTTCTTGAGTAACCCCAGAGCCTCGAGATCCAATTCAAGCAGCGTTTTCTCGTTCTCTAGACAAGTCTCCCTGCCTTGTTTCAACGACTCGAGCCCGGTCTCCAAGACCCTTCTCGATGCTCCTTCTTGCTGTGATCTGTCCAGAACTTCCTCGAACCTTTCATTGCTCTTGGTTAGGTTTTTTGTCTTCTGATCAAGCTTACCTATTCTTTCATTCAGTCGATCCTTTTTGTCTTGCAGTCTTTCGATTTTGTTTTCAGCAAGATCAATCTCCTTCTCTAAGAAATGTTGCTCATCATGTTCCTCCCGTGGCGGTGTTACCTCAACTACAATCACTCGTTGGTCAGACATCCTGACTACAATTCCCTTGAAGTTGATTGCAAAGGACGTGTCTGGTTTTCGATAGCCGGTCGTATAAGCTGGAATGAGGGAGAGTTTTCTGCCACAGGGATGAATCAGGTTCGGAATTTATACCCAAAACCATTAGTCACCCTGACAAGAACCATGTTTCTGTTCATTTTCATTGACCACTGTTCACCGTCACACACTGACTGAACATGACCAGCCCACTACCGTATATCACACAAGTCGCTGGCGACTTTGTGGCACTGAACATAGCACTCAACCACGAACCTATTGCAACGCCCGAGCCGAATTTCGTGTTCCGATATGTCATTTCACGCGACGAGCCTATCGCACATGTTCTGGAGAATTCCTGTTCTTTTTCTTTGTCATCTCGTGTCGTATCTTCTCTAAGGCGTGACAAAAGGTAACATAGCAAAATAGTGACTCAGCTCCTAGATTGCATCTCGGCCGTTTCAGGGTTCACCAAAAATGCGATTCAAATAACTAGAGAATGTCTAAGCAATTTACGTCCTATTGTTTCCCAGATCCGCTTAGACGCGCAGGCTGAGACGATCTCTCTTCTTCGTAAGAGACTTTTTCTCACGCTTTGTTTGTTTCAAGACACGCTTAATCTCCTTCAAATCACGCTTTCTCCTGCGCAACGTTTCTTTGGCCTCCTCAATGTCCCTTCGCTTTGGTCGTTTCTTAGATTTCAGTCGCTTCACTTCATCTTTCGCCCTTCTCACTCTCTTCTTCTTCTCGTCTCGCTGTCGGTATATCTCATCGATCTCCGCACGTATGCTGTTCAGTCTTCGGTTCAACACGCTGATGCGTTCTTGAATTTCCCACTGTGCCCTTCTAGATCGGGGCCTGTCGGTGCATCGTCGGGCATTGGATCCCTTTCGGCGGCGACTCCAGAACATGGTCTTCGTAGTTATTCACCGATTGTAGAGATCGTTAGCTGTCTTCTGTCTGTACCTGCCTTGGTTTGAGGGCCGACTCAGAAAGCATGGGATGCCTGGAGTCTTTTATGGGCTTTTAGAGTTGGGATCAACAGGGACTGGATGATGGACACTCAGAGCCAGCGCAGTGAAGAACTCTCCAAGGCGTGCTCGTCACTTGCACTGTCTCTATCGGAGTCTGATCACTAGGTACCGTGGAGATTAAGTAGTAATTAGCAGCTATCTGCCACTGGTCTCAACTGCAAATGACAGCGGGTTAACCACCAAGGTCTGTTAGTTACAAACGTTCGCTCTAATGATCTTGAAGGAGTGCAATAGATTCACTAGTAAGTTTGCTGGTAGTTTGATGCATTTTCATCTCGTATTCTGTCTACAGTTTCGTTATCTCGGCCGCTCAAGAAAAGGCGACAGTCACAACATTATCATTTCCTCGCGAGATCAAACCAAGCATTGTTTCAAAAACCCATCGAGTTACGATTTGGATCTAGCAGTGATAGAGCTAAGGAATACTGAAGTCTCCCTTCCTCTTTGACCCCCTTCTCCTCCAACTCTCTCACTTGCCATGCTGAAGACGCCACCTCTTCATAAATACTTCCTCTTCTTCGAGTCTCGCTTTCTCCAGCTTTTTCACTGTTTCTTTCAAAGTAGCCTCCATTACTTCCAATTCCTCTTTAGCCTTCCTTTTGTCCTTACTTGACCGTTTTTCGCGTTCCATCCAGGCTATCTTGTCACTTTGGCATTCCACTGCCTCTTGTTGCTCAGCTTTTAAGGGATATATCGCCTCTATCCGCCACCGAATTTTGGCCAGTTCTTCACTTAGTCTCATGATTACAATTTGTTTTTGGCCTCCTGCGCCGCTGGCTCCAGTCTGGGGATGGTCACTTGTAGATCGCGGGTCATTGGATCGTGGTCCCATGGTTCGTTGACCACTGAGCCGTGGTTCCATAGATTCTAGATCCACGTTTCTTGGGCCAGGGGTTCCCAGCTCCATGGTTCGTGGACCATTAGGTCGTGGGCGATCAGATTTTGGACCATTGAACCCAGGATCAGTAGATCCCGGATTTATGGATCGTGTGCCACTGGGCTTTTGATCATTGGATCGCGGTTTGTTGGAACCCTTTCCGTTGCGGTGCGATGACATGTTTTGTGGAGGTATTCGGTGATGGTAGAGATGAGTGGATATGTGTCTTTGGTAGTGTGTCTTGGTTTGACAATCCACTAAGACCCCAGGATGCCTCATGTGTTTTATGGACTCACCAGTTCAGTGCAGACGGCATCGATCACTCACAGCAAGCGCAGTGATGAAGTCCTTTTTGGCATACTCATCACCGTCATTTTCTCTATGGTGACTTGTTCATAGATGCTTGTCCTTGTGTGCAAGTAATCACATCTGTGTCTGAGACTTCTGTCGTCTGTCACTATGTTGTTGACTAGCAGGATGCACTGACATATCTTCCCTTGACTCGAAGTCTGGCAAGGTGTCGGCTTTGTGAAACTGAGCTCTGTATCAAGGCAACGACAAATCATGAATAGTGACACGTCTTTGAGGCATACGGCCTACCAACTTTCTGTGTGATATTATGCGAAACTTGATTTCCGTGATGAGCTTGTGACATAGATGACCATAATACACTGTATATGGTCATAGTGAGTAAATGTATGCATCACGATTCACGGTGATGTCAGCATGCAAAGCTGCGAGCACTGTTTTGTTCTGGTTCTCAGCCGTTAGACAGATAAAAGGCCCAACCAGGTCCAACATCCCAAGTGCGTCCCAACAAAGACACGTCAGCAAATGTCCAATCACAAACCTCTGCAACGCCATTCAGTACATCAACAAGCCATGCCCCTCAAACCGCCACTACCATGGCGAATCGGGATCCGGGAGGCGAAGGGCCAACCGAATTCAGCCACAAACCACCAGACCCGCTTCCGCATTACTAGGAAGGCTCATCAATCTCAATAAAATATTCTTGTACCATTGTAGTGAGAAAAAGGATCTAGAGTCGAAATATAAAGTCACAGTGGATAGACTCCAGTCGTTAGTAGCCGAAGTGCAACACAAGCTGAGTACGGAGGTCGGTCTCAAAAGTCTTTGCCTAAAATGACTTACGCCACAATTGCTAATCCCTGTCAGGTACAAGGAAGTACAAGTGATAAGAGAGATATAGGGAGACTGCCCTATAGTAGCTCTATAATTATAGGGCATTTAGAGGAGCCGTGTAAATAAATTACTGGCTCTCCTTGCTGTAGTTCTATTGTAATTAGTGACTATCATTTCGCTAGATGTACCTAAGGTATCTTATCAAAAGTGGGTCCTCTAGCCACAGTTATCTTGAGCAAAGACTTTTGAGACCTACCTCCGTAATCGGCAATCAGATCAAGATATATTCAGTATTTTTGCGGAATATCGCAAGGCTTTGAGGCAGTTTGAGATCGATTTGGAATCAATTCGCAAACTTTCGCAGGAGTTAGCCGAGACAGCAAGGAAGCAGGAAGAGGTGTTGGTGGAAATCACGAAGGGACAGAATTACCAGCAAGAGGATAACTGACATGTGAATTAAATATTCAAGAGCGCCATTGCTTGGCTCTGGAATTTATATTAATGCACCCAAAGTTTGCTTGCGCAGGGCTGTAAAAACAAAAGAGAAAAAAACACGCTATGGGTATGATGTTTTGAACATGACAAATTACCAAACGCCCGCTCAAAAAAGTCAACGCTGTGTATCCTGGCGCCACCAATCACAAAAAAAACACTTTTTTGCCTCTTCATGCCCGACGCGGTGCAACCTATTCCACCGCGCGAGTCTTCCACGCAAGCACGGCTTTAGGCGCGATGCTCCAGACCTTCTTCTTGGGCTCCAGATTTGTATCCTCCTCCGCGTTATAGCCAACCCACTGCACGCGATACTTGTTCTTCTCCTCCGCTATGATTCTGAGTATTTTGTACATCTTGAACCCCGTGGCTTCGCACCGCCCGCCGATGCCGCGCCAGTAGTTGAGGACGATGTCTTGGTAGTATTTGTGAAGATCGATTTCTTCTGCCCAGCCGCGAGACCAGGTGTCGGTTGGGCTGAACTTGAATTTTATCCGGAAAGAGACGTCGCTTGTTTTCTTGTTCTCGATGTGAGATTCTATTTGGATGTCGTAGGCGCCGATGAAAATCAAATCGTCATAGTCTTCTGCGACTTTGATTTGTGAGCAAAAGTTGACACGTTGAGGTGGAGTCAACATACATTCTTCCTCAGGCGTGGCCACGAGAGAAAGATATGGCTCGATGGCTGAGAAGGGTCAGTAAAAGGATTATAAATCAGTCCGAGGGCTGATCTCACCTTTTTTAGACATTACTATTGAGATCGCTGTGTCGCGATTAAAGTTGAGGCAAAAATGGATCAAAAAGTTTGCTATCTAAGGCAGAACTGCCAAAAGAAGAAGTTGAGTTTAGTTGAGAGAGAGAGAGAGAGAGAGAGATGGGATATAAGCGAGAGGAAGAGGAATATCAGTATAGCCAAGCGGTGGAATCGCGCTATAAAGTGAGTAATGACAGAAGTGAACAAAGAAGTGTGATGCAGGTGCAGAGTTCTGCCTGTCTGATGAGGTGTCAACAATGGCGCTTCCGCAGTGTGACTAACCCCGGTCAGAGGCGTTTGGCGGCAGTGTCGGTCACTTCTCACATCCCATCACTACTCAACATGAACGAGCGGCTCATGGCACTGAAATGCAAAGTGAATTACTTTTCCTGGAGAGAAAAATGGCGGTAGAGGTGAAATGCGGGAAATTGGGCAAGCATTGTAGTCGTCATTTCGATATTTTCGTTTGGTGTAACTTTGTGAGACAGGCCCTAGCTGTGGTGACCAATCATTCGCTCGGGAAATTACTGAGGTTCCGGAGTGTGAGGATGGGCTGGATTTGAGTCACAGCTTGGGGCGGCATTTACTGGAGTGGCGTTTGATATGTCGGAATTAGATAGGAGACGGACGAAGAAGTGCCAAGTTGTTGGGTATTCTAGAAGAGACGGGAAGGATCTTGATTTCTTTCACCGCTTATTTCCACTTGTGTTTGCATCTCTTTCGCTCTTGTCTTAGATTTCAGAGACAAAGCTCGCGGTGACGATCTGAGTTTGCTGGCTGGAAGCCTATTGACTTTGTATCGTGTTTCGAGGAAACAAGCTGGTAGTCCAAACGCGGTTCTATTCTCTCATAATATGTCTACTTGATTCATTCCCAGTGAAAAATAAGAGAGCGGTTTGCCTCAGGAAGACTGAGCACTGAACACCAGTTTTGGTGAGTTGGATGTCAGCCTAGACCGCGCTTGTCGTTACGTCGCGTCGCGCTAGAAGCATCCAGCCCTGCGAGCAGTCACTTCTTCTCACTATGCCCAAGACCAATGCTCGCTTTCGCTTTGATAGTGACATCATAACTAATCTCCTTCATTTGGCGGAGTTTGCATTGCTGCCTGCCCTATGCAAAATGGCGGTACATTCCAAGACCGAAGCTCACTCTGAGAGGTAAAAGTGTCGTTGTCAAGTATTTTTGGTGCGTTATCTAAACGACCTTATGTAGATCTCTATCCAACTAACCACACATTTTCCAAGGAGTAACAGAAATACTAGCCCATCAGAGTAGAGTAGATTTAGAATCTTTATCCTTAAGGCAGCTTCCTTTTGCAAATTTCGATGCTCAAATCGCGCCGCAGCACATAAGCACACAACCATCCAGGGTAGGAAACTGTCATTCCTTATCTGCAACCAACCCAGCCCCACCATGGCCAGAGAAAGATTGATTGGCCAAGGTCAGCATTAGTAATTCTCTCAAGCGCCATCAAAGTTCACCATCTCAACACCAAATCGCGATGTGGCTTGGTCCAGTTGCAGTTGCAGGGTCGCTCCTCGCGACGATTAGCCATGTCGCCGCCCAAGGTCAAAAGCCGTTAACAGATGACTCAGTAATCAAACCCGCTTTCACTGTCCGTGAACAATCTTCTGACCTCTGTGATGCGGGTGCTCGTCAATTCACTGGCACGGTTAACGTGACGGAGGATAAGTCCATGTTCTTCTGTAGGCGCCCCAGTTCTTCGTTGACATAAATACTAACTGCGCTCAGGGTATTTTGAGAGCCGTAATAATCCAGAGACTGACCCTTTGCTACTATGGATGAGCGGGTAAGTCGCCGTTGATACGCCAAGCCAGACCAAACTAATGTAGGCACAAGCGGACCTGGTGCATCTGGAGAGATGGGACTGTTCATGGGCAGTGGCCCCTGTACTGTGAATCCAGATGGGAACTCAACAAAACGCGCGGAATACTCGTGGATCGACCACGCCAACGTCGTCTACATTGAGTAAGTCATGGAACCAGCACCGCCGCTCTGACTGACACTTGATAGTCAACCCGTCGGCGTCGGCTTCTCCAAAATCACAGACCGAAACAAAATCGCCGTCAGTCTCGAACAAGGCGCAAAAGACGTACACACCTTCCTCTCCACATTCTCCCACGACGTGTTCCCCAACCTCGCTGGAAAACCATGGCACATCACAGGTGAATCCATGGGCGGCCACTACGTCACCGGTTACACGAAACATATCGTCTCTCACGAACGGGAAAACGCAGAGCGCGGGATCAAGCCTCGAGTCGAGATCTCATCTGCGATTATTGTTGATGGGTATATTGACGCGGCACAGCAGTTCATCGGATATTATACCTTCTTTTGTGAGAATTGGGCTGGTGATGGAAGGAAATATCCGTTGATGAACCGCACGGCCTGTGAGAATATGTTTGCTGCGATACCCGAATGTCAGAAATTGGGGAGTCAGTGTCGGTACTTTTATGATATTGATACTTGTAAGGCGGCGAATGAGGTTTGCGAGGAGACGTTGGGGGAATACTTTATGGAAGGCGTCGTACCCGGTGGATGGGATCCTTATGACAGTGAGTATCCCGCTTTTATCGCATCCGAGTGGTATAAAGTATACTGATATTTTACAGACCGACACCCGTGTGAGAAGCCTCCTTTGTGCTCGAATATGGACCACGGACCGGAGTGGAAGTTCTTGAATCGACGATGGGTCCAAGAGAGACTTGGATTCGACCACTTTCCATTTTCTCTTATCGACTTTGATACCAACGAGCGCTGGGATCTTGCGCAAAATATTCATATTCCTGTAACACGAGAGTTGACGTGGATTCTCGATGAAACAAGTATACGAGTTCTATTCATCAATGGCAACAATGATATCATCATGTAAGCACTCCAAACACGTCTCTACTCGAGCAGCCCGCTGAAGTTTATAGTAATACCCCCGGACAAATGCGCATGCTGGACCAACAGCGATGGAATGGACAGGATAACTATCGGGAACTTGGCTATGAGCCCTGGTATTATAAGGACGGCGAATTAACTTCTGATGCTGATGGATGGAATGTTAAGGAGGGAGGTTTCTGGAAGGGGAATAACCAGTTGAGGTTCTATGCTGTTGACGAAGCAGGGCATATGTCTCCTTATCACCAGCCCGAAGCCATTGGAGCGATCGTTCGAGCATGGCTTCGCAACGACTGAAATCACACTCACTCTAAGATTATATAAAGAACTTGCACATAACAATATTATACTGCTTATCTACTGTACCAGCCTCATCTAAAGTCTAGCCTGATTCGCCAGTAACTCTCTGCCCTCCCTATCCGCACTTATCACATCTTCAATAATCATATGCGCCGCCTTCTCAGCAATAGCATAAACGGTAGCTTGAATATGCGCACTGATCTGCAGCGGCATGACACTTGCGTCAACAACTCTCAGGCCATGCACGCCATAGACTCGAAGTCTTTCATCAACGACACCGCCTTCGATGCCAGCACGACCGCCCATGGCGCATGTTCCGACAGGATGCCAGTCAGTGATAGTGTTTTGTGTGATCCAATCTCCTAAGAGCTTGTCATCCTTGAGAGCTGCTGTGGAAGGGGATGCCGAGGAGCGGATTATGTTTGACAGAGGTGCTGTGTGGACGATCTTATCGACGAACTGAAGACATTGCTTCATCGTTTCCATGTCGAGGTTTCCATGGGGACCCTCGTAGTACTTTGGGTCGATTGCGGGTGCATCCTCAGCTGTAGCGTGCTCACTTGGTTGAATGTGAATCGACCCAACACTGAAGGGATATTGCAAGATCTGTAGCATAGTACCGTACTTCTTACCCTCTTCGCCCTTGAAGTTAGGGTTCCAGTTACCCAAGTCGAAGATATACTCAATTTGTCCCAACTTGGAGTTTCCATCAAGACGTTCACGAAGAATGTCTTGCTTGTCCGAGTCAAACACAGATATTTTGTCTGCATCCTCATGAAGACCAGCAAGAGTATTCTTCGGAACGAAATGAGCAAAGGGAACGTAGCAAAGAGACACAGGCAACACGGTCAAAGGTCCATCTGCCTTTGTAGCGTACTCCTCTTTCGCAGCGGCACTAAGCTTCTCATCTCTCACAAGATCATCCCGATTAGCGAGCGATGGATCAACCTCAAAGATCGTCGCAAGCACTAGATAACGCAAATTAGCTCAAAACGCCGATCCCAAAAACCTTCTCACTCACTAATATGCTCCTGCAGATTCTCCCCCACCTGCGAACTCTCAACCTTGACGCTCACACCAGCATTACCTAGTACGCTGGGATTTCCTATACCCGAAAGCTCAAGGATCTGCGGTGACTTGACACTCCCGGCTGAGAGGATAACCTCGTGTCTAGCTGAAACATCATACTCGACGCCACCGTGGGTGAAGCGCACGCCAGTGGCTACGAGGGCTTGGTTAATGAGAATCTCGTCAACCGTGGCGTTGGTAAGGATGTGCAGGTTACGCGATCCAGTGGCGTAGTCTATCGAGTAGGATCTTCTCGCGGCGCTCGGCTCAACGGCGTTGACGCATGTCCAAACGCCGACGTTTGAGCCTCCGACGTGGGATGGGTTAGTCTCTACACCAAGCGCATTAAGCGTCTTGTGCCATAGCGCGTGCGATGGTGAATACGAGGTTGGGTATGAGATGTGAATGGGACCTGAATCACCAAAGGTCTCTGCGTCATGAGCAATCTCAAACTCGCGCTGGAGCTGCTCACTAGGAGGATGGAATGTCTCAGAGCGTTTGAAGAAGGGCCTTTACATAACGGAAACGAATCAGCTTCGGCATCGCATCCAATAAAACAAGCATAAACTCACAGGAGAGAATCCCAGCCCCAACCTTGATTACCCAAAGCTTCCCAGGCATCGTAATCATCCCTGCTAGCGCGATTCCATGCCATGTAGTTCAGGGCGCTTGTGCCGCCGACACATTTGCCCCTCGGCCACGGAAGCGTTCTCCCCCCGAGACCCTCCTGAGGCAGCGTCTCCAAGTGCCAATCGTAGCTCCCTCCAAGATTCCTACCGTAGTGGCCCGGGATGTCAATATCAGGATCATTCTGTACAAGACCGCCTGCTTCGATAACGCCGACGGTATATGACGGGTCGGATTCAGCAAGACGTGCTGCCACCGCTAGTCCAGCTGTGCCGCCGCCTATGACGACAAAGTCAAAGACGAGCTGTGTGAACTGGTCAACAGTGCGAAGAGAGGGGTTGACGGGCATGGTTGATGATTAATTTTGGTGGTTATCTTTTTTAGTGTAGAATCGTGCGGTGCTACTGTACCAAGCAAGTGAGACAGTTATAACGCCTCTTGTGAGGGCGGGAAGATTGCTGAAGATTTCGGAAAAAAGCGCGAAGACAACCCCCGCTGCTAGACGAGCCAATAAAACCCCTACAGTGAGTGAGGTTTGGGGGAATGTGCTGATTTCTTGGTACTCCGTACGGGGTAAAGAGATAACAGCGCCAAGCGATTCTACTGTGTAGAACGAGATCCGACGGAACCGAGAACCCTGGTTGCTTTTTTTTAATCGTCGTGTGAGACTGTGAGTCTACCGGGGTCATGAGGCGTTATCTGCATTTACGAGTCTCCCGACCCGACGGAATATTCTCTTGGTTGTTAGCTTCCTCTTTGGATACGGAAATGATTGGCTCCTGTAATAAGACGCCAGGTTCCAATCCACGAGCCCCGATCATTACACGAGCAATATTAATTAGAAAAGGTCACTCGATTTCTTAGCTGCGAATTACTAACCCAAAGAATCACGCAATCCGACATACTTTGAACCCCCAACGTAACAGTTCTCCATCACCGTCTCAACTGCCGCGCGTGCACCCAAGCATTAAACATGCCCCCAAAAAAGGTCCCTTCTAGATCTCTACTACGTTAGTGAAAACGGGGCAGATTAGCTTTTAGCCCGCCCACCATCGTATGACAAGAAAACTCTAAGCTTTCGCCCAGCCGGGATCACCCCCCACGGCCCGCGCAGGGGTCGGAGGCGGGCCGGGTACCGGATCCTGGAGGATTTAGACGGTAATTGGATCTGCTAAGACAGAGTTTCGACTGTCTCGTTTCTCTTTTCGTTCCGCGGCCAGCGTGGCTGCGCCGTTTGTGGGAGCCGATTGTCTCGGACCATACTTACCTTATCAAGCGGTTTGTTCCTTTGCAATATTGGGTGTTTTGAGTATTAGGTGCAAGCCACTTCCGGTGGTGGTTTTTCTCTCTTTATCTGCCGCGTCTAGCCTGGATTTAACGGTTAGTGGGAGGGCCACGGAACTACACTTCGAACCGGGAGCTTGTTCAACAGGCTGTTGGTCTTTGTCTGTGGCTTTTGAGGCTGTTGGTGGAATCTGTACATACCGAGATCAAGATCGTCACTGTCACTCGAATCGAATCCGATTAACTAATGCCTATCACTTCGATCATCTCCAGTAACTGACTTCCAAATCCATGCTTTTCTGACGTGCCGATCTAAGCGCAACTCTCTGGCCATTGTCTTAATCCCAGTATGATAGCAATGCAAAGAAGAAAAAAAAAGGAAAAATGCAGGGGAAACGACTAGCCATGCAGACTGCATTCTGCCCCCCCTGCCCTCCTCGTGTCAAGCTGAGATTATTCCTGTAATTTTGGGTTCACCACCATGTTCGTCGTGCCATTTTACCGCGCCGGCGATAAAGTTTATCGTTTGACAGGACAGGACAGAACTCAGGAGGGCCTTCGAATCTTGGAACTCGGGAGGACATTTAGGTTCATCTTTCCGGAGCAGCCAACAGCAGCGCTCGTCACTCATTCATTCATTCATTTTATTTTTCGCTATGGATTTTCTGCACAAGCTGTTGGTTGAGTCCTGGGTTCTATGGGTGTTGGGTCTCTTTGTCGTTGTGTGTCGACTGTAAGCCATCCATCCATCCATCACAATGCATGGCTTTTTGAGGCGTTTGTGACTGACATGTTTGTTCCTGCAGGATATCACGACGCATGAAACTTAGAAAATGGAGTCGTCTCGCCATTGAAGATTATCTCATGGTCTTTGCCCTCGTACGTTTCGTCCATAAAACTCACCAAAAATTCCGTTACTGATACTCGGGCTGTAGATCAACTTTACAGGAGTCGTCGTCTCGATCAATGAAGTCGCCAAGAATGGCAGCAACTACATGCCCGCCGATGTCGCCGCGAAGCTCACCCCCGAGGGAAGACAACAAGCTATTATCGGCAGTAAAATGACCTTTGTCCTCGAGATATTCGCCCTCACTTGTACATGGACCATCAAAGCTTGTCTCTTATTCTTGTACGCGAGATTGACGCAGGGCACATCGATAAGACAGAAATGGGCGGTGCGATTCGTCTCTGCGTTTTGCGCGGTGACGTACATCGTCGTTACCTTTATGTTTGTATTCTTTTGGTGTTCGCCTACGCCGGAGTATTGGTCTGTTCCTGTTAATCCCAAGAAGAGTGAGTCTGTGATTGATAGCTGGGAAGGGATTGGGCTAACAGCGACAGTGCAATGTGCGACGTATTACAACCATATGATCTTTGCGACGGCTTGCAACATTGCAAGCGACATCATGTTGATCTTATTACCGATTCCGATCGTCATCAACATCAGCCTCCCCAAGAAGCGCAAGATTGGTTTGTGCTGTGTTTTTGGCTTGGGTTTGTTCAATGTAAGCTTCTTCTCCAACCCCTCTTTGACATGCGCTAATTGCGCAGATCCTCGCCGCTGTCCTCAACCGTTACTACAACTTCAGCAACCCCAACTCCTACGTCTTTCTCTACTGGTACGTCGCAGAAGGCGGCGTCGCCCTCTGGGTCGGCAACCTCCCTCTGTGCTGGCCCGTTCTACGTCTGGCCCTCGGCTCCAAAGGCGATTCCACCGACCCCTCTTCATACCCCAACACTCCCTACCGCAATGGTTCATACCCCGAAGGTTCAGCGCGACGGAGAACTCAAGGTCTTCACCCGCTGTCAGGCAAACCTTCAATCTGGTCTAAGTTGGAGGATGAGGATGGCGTGCGCACTGACATTTCGCCCGAGCAGGGAAGCCAGATTGAGCTGGTGGACCAGCATGGACCGGATCTGCTACAGCGGCCGTACCGCGCTGAAGCGAAAATTAGTAGTGGGACGCAGCAGCATGAGAGGGCTCGCAGTGGGCAGATTACAGTGGTTACGAGCGTGGAGGTTAGCTCGAAGCAGACATAGACCAACCATTTCACCAATTGTGTATTACTTTAGACTAGCATGAATATTTACAATGACTTTGCTTTTGTTATGAACATGTTTGTTCCCTCATCGCCAAGTGATTTATCGCCAAGAATAAAACCGGCATATCTTTTAGTGCCCGTTATGGAGATTCAAGACCCTTCCCCTCCCTTCCCTCCCGCTCCGTGGCGTAGCCATCACGGTTCCGCTCCAACCGATCCTTACCTCCCTTCTAAACCCGTTTCTGTTAGCGCACACGGGGGATGGTTTCATTGCTAAATTAACTGCATGGACTAACGGACCTGGACTGAAGAACCCTTGTTATCAGCTTCAAGCCACAACCAGCACCAATACCATGGACGAGTCAAGCATGCATGCATCCATGAGCTTTTTACCCGTCAATGAGAGGTCGGTAACATTCCGCCTCCCACTCGCATCCGTTCACTGCAACCGAGACATCTTACAAGGGTTCAGTATCTGCAAGACAAAAACAAACTCTGTTTGCATTCCCTTTTTCAACTCCTGCAACGCAACCTCTTTACCACACGGACTCTGTGTGTGCCGTGCATACATTTCTTTTTTTCTTCCCTCCTGTTTAATTTCCACATTGCGGCCATTGACCTCATAATGTCTCTCCCAACGCACACGGTAGAAGCCACGCATGAGAAGTCAGCGACCGTGAGCTCATCACCTACGGGTGATGAAAGCTCCAACCCCCCTAGCATCTCCCTCTCCTCCTTCCAGAAGCTGAATAATCGCATCGAAGGCCTCGCTGGGCTTGAAGCCCGAGGTATCGAGCGTGTTCTTCCAGAAGAACGACAGGAACCTTCTTCTGCTGCTGACTTGCAGGTTGCCGTGCTATGGTTCAGTGCCAACCTGTCGCTGAACAACCTGGCGACAGGTCTGTTTGGACCTATGGTCTTTGGCTTGGGGTTCCTTGATAGTGCGTTGCTTGCTGTCTTTGGAACGATTCTGGGTGCTTGTTCGACAGCGTATATGGCGACTTGGGGACCTCAGAGCGGTAATCGTACCATGGTGAGTGTCACTGTTTCATCGGTGATGGTGTTGACTGACATGTGTTACACCAGGTTGTTCTGCGATTCTTCATGGGCTACTGGCCAAGCAAGCTCCCAACGTTCCTCAACATCGTTCTCATGGTCGGATATGCCACCATTGACTGCATCATTGGCGGACAGGTCTTGTCAGCTGTCAGTGGCGGTACCATGACCATCTTGGTTGGCGTCATTGTCGTCGCTATCGTCTCATGGATCGTCGCCGTTTTTGGCATGAGGATCTTCCATACTTATGAACGGTACGTCTCCCTTCATCTATTATGCATGCACATGTACTGATGTGGCACAGATACGCTTGGATCGCTCAGGTCGTTGTCCTTGCTGTTCTTATCGGCGTCGCTGGGCCCAACTTCAATGCCGCCGCTAAGCCTACTGTCTCCGGCAACGTCCTCGCCGCCAGTCGGTTGTCATTCTTCTCCCTTTGCTTCTATGTCCCCAACTCATGGGCTGCTGCTGCCTCTGACTTTTATGTCTACTACCCAGAGCGCACTTCCCGTCTCAAGGTCTTCTTGCTCACTGTCACTGGTCTGACAGTGTCATTCACCCTTGTGTATCTCATCGCCATTGGTCTTGCTACTGGTATTGTTGATAACACGGCTTGGTCTGATGCCAATGCCATTAGCACTGGTGCTCTCATCGTCGAGGCTTATAGTCCTCTTCATGGCTTTGGTAAATTCTGCTCTGTTGTCATCGCCCTTGGTGTCATTGCCAACAGCACTCCATCCTTGTACTCTGCCTCTCTAGGATGTCAGGTTCTTGGTCGCTATACCAAGGCTGTTCCACGATGGGCTTGGTCTACTGTCATGTCTGTCATCACTCTTGTCCTCGCTATGGCTGGTCGTGAAAGCCTGTTCGTCGTCTTCCAGAACTTTGTCAGTCTGATGGGATACTGGGTCATGCTTATGATCTGCATCGTCATGGAGGAACATTGGTTCTTCCGAGGTCGCCAGGGATTTGACTGGACTGCTTGGGAGGACAAGAACTATCTTCCCGTTGGTCTTGCTGCGCTTACAAGCTTCATCATCGGTTGGGTTGGTGCTATTGTCGGTATGTCCCAGGTTTGGTACATCGGACCCGTTTCTAAAGCTGCTTCTAATGCGGATTTGGGAATGTGGCTGGGTTGCGGATTCGCTATCATTGTCTTCCCCGTCTTGCGATACTTTGAGCTCAAGATTTATAAGCGATAAAGCCGACGTACCGGGCATCTGAGAGGGGTAAAATTTGTAACTGGATTACTTTAAATCTAATAACTAGATCACTCAACATCAAGACAGTCGTTCTGCATTCGGTTCGGCTAAAACCTACGATCTACCGTAATTGCTACCAACCTGGCAGTCAAGTTGTTGAATCCAATCCCCCAACTCATATTATGAGGTGATATCGGGTTCATTCTTGCCACGTCGCATTTTACATATACCCTCAATTCATCGTCAATTCGTGCTGATTCATAATCGTTGTCCGTCTCAACCATTCGGGCTGCAGCTTGCACGTTCCTGGTAGAGGGCTCGTCTTTCGCAGACTGAGTGAAACATGATGATACCAGCAGCTATTATTTGACTTATCATGATTTAATTGTCTGACCAATTGACTTAGCATTGAGCAGTGAAAACGCTTAGATAATGGTTGACAGTAGGGAGTGTAAATGTATACTATGCGTTAATATGTTCGTTGTGCCCTCTTTACTTCTTGTTCGAATAGATATATCACTGGGAGACAATTAACCAATGCATCATCCAGGATCAGACAATGATCAAATTTTCGCTCGACGCATTATGAGTTCATCGGCTATAGCAAGAATGATCTTGATTGTTGTTGGTCTTAACGCCGAAATGTCGCCTCTACGAATGAACCAATCATGGTTGACATTGAAGTTATCGCCGAAGTCCACTTGCGTCACATCTCTGTTACCATCGGCGCTGAGCAAATCACCAATCAAAGAACCAGAAGGACCGCAATGCCAAGAATTCAGTCAGCCACGTATAAATGGACGTTAAATTGGAAATCCAATTGCTGACTTGACCATTCTTCAATCATTCTCACTCAGTCATAACCATGGATTCACACCGAAACTTTCAGACCCTCAAGGGGAAGGTCGCTATCATCACAGGCGCTTCTCGAGGCCTTGGAGCAGGCTTTGCTTATGAGCTTGCACGAAGAGGCGTAAAAGTGAGTCGACTCTAGAATCGCTTTGAATACCGTCACTGATAATGACAGGTCGTCGCTACATACACTTCCCCAAGCAGTGAAAAGCTGGTGAAGGAGTTGTCCGACAAAATCGCATCACTCGACCCGCCATCAGACTGCATTGGTGTTAAAGCAGATCTCAAGGACGAGTCATCTCCCGCTAAGATAGTCCGACAAGCAGTCGCTGCATTTGGTTCTCAAATCGATATACTCGTCAATAACGCTGGCATGGAAGTTGTCAAATCTCATGCTGACATCACGACATCCGATTTTGACTCAATCTTCTACCTCAACGTCCGCGCTCCTCTTCTCCTCCTCCAAGCCGCAAAACCTTATCTCCCTTCCTCAGGGGGCGGTCGTATCATCAACATATCCTCCGTGGGTGCCCGCTGCGGTTTTAAGAACCTCTCTCTGTACTGCGCTTCCAAAGCTGCACTCGAAGGACTTACGCGCTCATGGGCAGCTGAGCTGGGTGAGGAGGGCCACACGGTCAATGCCGTCAACCCTGGGCCTGTTCAAAGTGATTTATTGGACAATATTCCCAAGGAAATCATTGATATACAGAAGAAGCAGACGGCTGCAGGAAATAGGTTGGGTGAGGTTGATGATGTTGCGCAGGTTGTTGCTTGGCTGGCTTCGGAGGAGAGTAGATGGATCACGGGGCAGGCGTTGTCTGCTAGTGGCGGATTGGAGATGTATTAGTATCTCGTATACCCGGTACTGTAGTAAGACAGAGATAATTGCTAGTAAGGGTAGCAGTTGAGGAAGACAATAATATGATGCTCATGGGAAATGCATGCCCCTATCGCCATCCCAATAGTCTCATTTCACAAACCACAAATCACACATTAGTCAACTGCATATTTCTGATTCAGGAGTGCACTAAACCCATCATGATTCTGACATATCCGCAACTTCAACATCCTAGAATGACTCCTGCGCTGGCCTCAAATCCAGCTCATGGACCCAAAGCGAACTCGGCTGCTGCGAAAGCCATAAGTAAGTCTGTCCAACGTCCTCAGCTCTCATATGCTTTCCAGTTCTCGTCTCTTCAGTATCCTCATCCGTGATCCTTCCATTCGCTATAGCATGAACGCACTGGACACCAAACTTGCTATGCTCTTTTGCAATAGCCTGCGCGACCATTCTAGCAGAGGCGCGAGTCGCTCCATAAGCTGCATAGCCGGTGTTTGTGCGCATAGCACCCAGGGTGCCAGTTAAGATAATAGTGCCCTTCTTGGCACCATTTGTATCGGCAAGAAGGGTCTGGCCGCCGTTTTGCTCGTACATAAGGTTGAGAGCTTCTTGTGCAAAGACTACTGCGCCAGTGGTGTATACCTCCATGCTTTTGCTGAACTCTTCGGGCGTTTCTTCTAGGAAAGGTTTCTTGCTGGCGTGCTTGACGTGATAAATTGCCAGCTTTAGCTTGAGGTCCTTGAAGTCGGGATGGCTGGCGATGTCTTTGAACGCTTTGCGTAGGTTATCTGGCTGGGTGTCTGTAGGGAAAGAATGTAGAAGCCCATTGGTTTCTTTGCGGAGTGAGTCGCGTAGATTGTTGAGATTGTCGGCGTTGCGGGCCAAGAGCGCGACAGCGAGATTACCGCCATCGTTACGGGCGAGAACGCGAGCGATGCCGCGTCCGCTTGTTGGACCGGCGCCAATGATGATTGCGAGACCTGAAGGTGCCATTTTATGAGATTTAGATGTTTCTTGATAAAACGGTCGTTCCATTGGCGTCTTCTACTTGTTTATATAAATATCGGGTCGACTACGTCATGCCGCTACTCTGATGATGACTTTCTCAGCCGTTAAGTCCGAAACTGATCAGGTAAAGATCTCCACAATGGAACATCAATTAGAAGTATCTTGTATATAACTAGATCTTGCAAAAGGGTCGATCCGCCCTATCTTTGCAAGATTTGACCTGGAATAAGACTAGTTGCTGTGTTGAGCATGTCTATATTGTCAGGTGTCTATTCGCATATCATCCATTAATAACGTCCTTCAGATGATTTTCAGAAATATTTCACTACTCACTCCCTTGTATCGTGTTCTCATTAATCACCTGTGTTTGCAGCCTAAAGCTTAACCTTATAGGCGGCAGTCATCCCCATAGTGGACGACGACACCTATTTGGGTTGCTTTTCATTCAGCTCCAGATCTTTCCTCACCTTCTCTCGTCTCCTACGAATCATCCGTATCCGCTGTCTTGTCTTCAACGTCTTGCGGCACCAACCATTTCTATAATCTTGCGGCCATGTCGAGGGATGGGATTTCTCTAGATACTCGTCTATTCGCCTCTTCTTCCACTCCTGTCCGTTGAGCTGAAAGGTGATACTTTCTGTGATGTGATCGTACAATTCTTGACAATATGGCATGGTATCAGTTCCTACACTGAAAACGGTGTCCAAATGAGAAATCATGAAGCTGGCCACTCGTGTCTCGGGTTCCAGCTTCTTTCCATATTCGATGCCACTCCAGCGAAGCCACCACGGGTTGTCGTTCTCCCTGCAAGAGAGCTTGGTATGAGTGGCGCCGTCTGTTGGAGCGACAACATTTACCTCGATTTCGTTAATTATGAAACGCTGGTTATTCGGGAGACCGATTTACCCAGGTCCATGTTGAATCACGCTCAATAGAAGTTCGTAGAACGCCATAACACCGCCTCCGGGTCCCCCATCGCCACCTGAGAAGTTCAAGCTGTCTTGAAAGCGATCGTCCAGGTCATCGGTCGGCTCAAAGATGCGGATCGTCGAGGTTATTTTGTTGATGTATCGTGATGCCGGTCGCTTCGCAATGTCCCACGTAGGCCAAAGCCCATAGTTCTTTACGAACATGATATCGACGTGGTAGTTGTTTGGAAGACGTCTCATAATATCCTGGACCTCGACGTAGAACTGCTTGCTGACCAAAAGCAGGCTTAGCGATTTGTCCCTGGGTGCCTGTTGCCAAACACCCTCTGGTCTCCATCCCCATCGGATATCTCGAAGAGGGTAAATAAGCTGACCTCGACCATGTTGGCTCTCTGAGGGACTTGATGGTGCCACTGGAGCTGTGAGGACAAGTTCGAATATGACCTGCCGTAGCTCTAGGGGAATATCCTGCAGTTGCATGACTGAGAATGGTCTTGGTCCCGGTAGGGCGGATTTGAACTATGGGACGTGTTTGAACTTCCGCTGGGGACTGTAAGCAGCGCCTCTTGTCCGTGTCAACACATTGGCACGTTCTTTCAGCGCGGAAGCAGCCTTTATATAGTTACGAGTTAGTTAGAGTCACTCGGCGAACAAATTAACTTTTCAAGGTTTACTCATTAAGATTTGTGTGTATTTGGACCTGTTTGGCTATACGAGAGTTCTCAGAGGTTAGACTTTCCTTCAGCCCTGAGCCCAAATTCCACAAGTTCGAACTCAAACTCTCCATACTCAGGACCCATCCGTTTCAGTCGCCTATTTTGCATATATTCCATAGTATCCCTCATAAGCCAGAGCCACGGCCGTAAGTGCAGCTGAAAATGCCTCCCACGTTGCAATTACTCTCCAAGCAGGTCCTTGCAACCAAAAGATTCTGGCTGAAATAAATCGTGCCAGAGTGAGGGCAAAAAAGCCGCGATTCTCTTGATAGGCAGCCAGCATGTAATAAATGCCGATGCCGATGATGGCGACTGAAAAGCCGTTGAGTGCGGGGAGGGCTGAGTCTTGCAGCTGCTTTGCCGCGAGAGCCTTGCGAGGGGAGATGAGATTGCTGACGCCGTGATTGAAGGCGCTGAGGCCGAAGATGAAGATTGTTACGGCGGTGATTGAGGGCATGTTGATTGAGCTTGTGTCACAAGGAAATACGGAAAACGCGTTTGTAATTCACGGACGAATTTTGATGAGAACAGATCTCAACATTTCTTTACCTTGTGTGCAGATCTAATCTGCGAGCTTTGCTAGGGCTTACATGAAAATGCAACTCGAAAGCTGCATAGCTGAGCGACATGGCGTTTTCTGGTCGCTCTGATTGAACAAGGACTTGCTTTTCGACAATAGCATGGAATTATCATTAAATCGAGTCACTTCTCATCAAAATGTCGGCCATAAGCTAAAAGCCGAGCTATTCTGCCGTCACAACAGTACAAAGGAAAGGGACATGCCAGAGGTAGCTGACATACTCAGTGATTTGCTATCAATATCTAACCATGCTGCATCGTTTTAGATGCTAGCAACAGCGACCTTGGCAACGAGACCAAGGATACCAGCAGCAGTGATCACGTCGTCAGATCTCTTGAATCCCTCGTCGAAAGGCAAGCGTTCCTCCTCTACACAACGTCAGCATCACTACGATCTACTCAACGGGCGTACTTACGGAACAATGTCTTGACCCATTCAGTCTTGGCATTTCCATCGTTCAAGTTTCCAAAGACAGACAAGTAAAGCGCAGTCTCGATGAAGCTGAACTGCTGGAGATCGGCAGGCAGCGAGAACTCTGGGTTGGCAGCTTCAGCAGCCTTGAGGCGATCCTTGCGAGCCTTGGCGGCGGTCGCGATGGAGATGGTTGGCTCGGTGAAGTGAGAGGCAGTGGCGGCCCAGATGGTCTCATTGAAGCTGTGGTTGTCGCCGAAGAAGATGTCGGCGCGGCTCAGACTGCCGTCGTGCTCGATGACTACTTCGATTAGCTTGTGACGTCGTGATCTACGTAGGATACGTACCTCCATGCTTGTTCAGGTCATCGAGGTTGAAGGTTCCGTTATTTCCAGTGGTAAGAGCCTTTGTGCCAACGAGGGTTGTCGCAGCTGGGTCGAGGTTGATGGCGTCGGTGAAGGCGACGATCAGATCCTCAAGCGAGATATGGAGGCCGTCGCGAGGAAGATATCCGTGATTGGCGACAGCGTTAACCATGGGACAAGGGCTTCGGCCTGTAATTGTTAGCTACAAAATATGGTAATTGGACCAATTGTCTTACGATCGGACGAAGTAGGCGCTCGCCACTCATTGCTGGCGCTAACAGCCAGAGCCGCAGAGCAAAAGAAGGCAACGTTAAAAAGCATCGTGATATCTTCCAACAAAGCTCAAAGGATACAGAACCAAAATCACAAGCAAGGACAGTCTCCTGACGACATTTTATCAACATCCACCTTCCCCTGAGCGACGATCATCTTTCACATTCTATTTTAGCTCCCTCCAATTTATGACGGTCAATGCCGAGGCTCACGGACGAACTTACAGAAAGAGGACGAAGCCGTTGATTTGGAGTCGCGAGATTGGTGCAAAATCGCCGTGCGACTCGGACGAAAGATGCAGGTCCGGAGATGAGCCAATAGCAGCGATTGTAATTACCATCTTAAAACGCCATGTTAATGCTTGGACCCCTTTTGTTGTGGAGATGGAGGGTCCGGGTGGTGAGCCGAGCCTTGGGGTGGAAAGAAAACTTAGGACCTTGACCCTAAGTGATAGAAATGCTTAGGTAATTCTAGCCTAAGCTTAGGGGGATCTTTGCTAAGTTTATTTTGACACCCCATATTCAGGACCGGTGTTTTCTTGCTCCCTGAGGGCCAACCTAGGGCGAATTACTCGGAAAGGCAGCTCGTGTTACCCTGCAGATATTTACGGGTTTTATAAGTTTAAGATGGGATTTGATCCGATAGAGTTTCGGCTTGCATGTCTAATTCGTCTTTTGAAGATAGGTGAGCGGATAGACGTTGATTTCTGATTCGTAATTGGATAAGCATTCGTCTTGATCCAAATACCAGTCAGACTATTTGCAGCAAACCATGGAAATGCTCGGACGTAATGTCAACATCCTGCAAAGTCCGCGGCATTTCCAAATCCCGGATGATCAAATCAATCAATCCCCAAGATCAAAGTCTCCGTCGGAAGCCTTCTTGTCAGCAAGCAAAGACTTGACAGTATCTTGCTCCAGCAGAATTTCCACTGTACGCCTCTGCCGATTGTTGTCGGTGTTCTTGCAAGCGTTGAACATGCAGAATGCTAGTATGGGAATACAACTAGTTTCGCCGTGGCCGATGTTGAAGGGCCCCAGCTGATGGCCTATCGCATGGCTTGCACCGAGAGGTACGCCCAAAGAAACGGCGCGCACGGCTTCGACGACGTTGGTCTGACAAAAATGACGAGCATCGATCATTCGGGTCATGTTTGCATCGTAAAAGGCAACTGGCTACCAACCTGGCTGAGCTCTAAACTTAAGATGATTCTATTGGGAATGGTGCTTCAGAATTCTAGCTCCTTTGTCTTCCTGATGATATTGTCTAGTCTATTTTTCTCTGGATCAACATCAATCCACTCCAGGTCGATGGGCCAGGATGAATTCACCTGCTCCTCCATTGCCCTCTCTTCCTCACCCCCTTCCTCTACAATATCCGCCTCTTTTAGAAGAAAACTGTTTTCACTTCCAATGCTACCCTTCAGTAGACGAAGCACTACTTTGGCCACATAACAGTTGATGCTTTGGTCTCCAAGACCTTTAAGAACAAGGACGACAGTCGATCTTCGGCTTTCGAGATCTGCCATCTCAGAATTCTCCAGGTTCTTTGCGTGCATGAAACCCATGAAAGCCAGTAGAATTATGATGAATATGTCGTAAGACTCGAATCCGTGCCGCTGGTAGTATAAGCGTATCAGCGTTTCCATCTTTATCTTGGCGTCGCTTAAAACCTTCTGGACGCTTTCGTCAACTAGGGCGGGAGCCGTTGTCATGCGCAGTGTCTCTAGAAGATATACAGTAAGGTTGTAGTAGTGAATACTGAAGAAATTAGCATAGATCAAGGACTCAACGGTTAATAAAACTTACTGGAGCTTGAGCTGCCAGGGAAAAGTGATTTCTGTTGCTCTGAGACCTGGCGGAAGATTTCGATACCAGCTGTCAAGGCGGATACAGAAACCTTTGATTCTGTCTACAATGGTTTCCGGAGTATTCTTGAAACCCGAGAAAAACACAACAGCAACATCATTCATGATAACTCGGAAGTTAGAGAATGTTCGAAAGGTATTGGCATAGTTGATCGATACGGGTCCTTTCGCTGATGGATAGCGCAGCCCGAAGTCTCCATAGCAGTCATCTTGCGAAGATAGCTGTATGCTAGGAGGCATGGATAGTAATGGTGCTTTGAACACGTGAAAACTGTGGACGCTATTGTCTGTTAGCTTCGTCATGGGGCGAGGAAGCGGGACTTGCCCTTGTAGCCCGAATAACGCCCATGCCGTGAAGGCCCTTGCATTGTACTCAACATCATCGTTATTCGTGGTCGGCGTAGAGAACAGATGCATTGCATGGGCAGCCGCAACGGCCTGGGTCAGATAAGATCTTCCCACCTCATCACTACCATTGGCATCATGCACAATCGATAGGATAATCGCAGCCTGGATAGTCGTAAGTCGAGCATTGCCAATCTCCAGCTCCCATAGTCGGCGTGCTTCTGCAAGGAACTGATACCCAAGAGTCCGAGGATTCCAAAACTGCGAGCGATGACTCATCTTCGAGTAGCCGTGCTGAAGACAACGTTTTAGCAATTACTGGCCTGGTAGACTATGGGGTCTTACCTACACAAGCAGATGCAAGGACTGCATGAACTAAAAGAGAGGAGCAGTATTTGCTTCGGCCTGCTGCCATGTCTTCTAGAAAGTAGTCCTTTTGGAAGGCTGGATAGAAAGGGTATTCTGTCATGAAATACGTCTCTAGTAGCTTCCGTAATAACTTATTATCATCGATGATGCACGTCCATTTCCGTGCGTCGATATGGTCTAGGAGAGGATCAACCATTTCGGCCGCATGATACGGAGCCTCGTAAATTATAGGATACTCTGTTGGCAGATTATCACCATCTTGTATCCTCGCCTCACCCAGTGAGTACTTATACAGCCATGAATCAAGGTACTGATTCCCTTCTTGGATCAAGAAGCTAGGCATTTCTTTGCGATAAGGGAACTCATACTGGTAATAGTGATCCGGCACTACATGTGCCTGTTTTAGAAGATCTGCATGTTGAATGTGATCAAGTATCGACTCAACATCATGGCCGCTCTGGATTCTTCTCAAAATCTCAGTGCCTTCATGCATTGGCCTTTTTGCTAGAATACGGAACAGTTCTTGGTACGCTCCCTGCTCTTCAAGGGTAGCACGGTAGTGGCACTCGGTCCTTCGTCTGATGCACTGTAAGCACCGCGGTTTGGCGCCGTCGCACTAGAAGAAAACCTTGTTAACTCATCGTCTCGCACACTAGGACAACATGAAACTGCTCACTCGGGACTTGCGCTGCCGACATGGTTCGCAGGCTAAGGTGATGGCTTTACGGCGTCTTGCTAGGTTGGGGACCAATGGTGGACTCTGGCTTAGAACATGGAGATTTTCAGGGGCCGGGCCTGGCAACAGACTGCGAGGCATGTTCGACTGTGAGTGAGTAGGTTTACTAATGCAACCGAGTGCTGTAGAGAGTATAGACTAGCACGTTCATGATGAAGAAAGGGCGGGGTTTGGAGAGCCCTCACGTGAAATTTCATTCACCAATCATGCGTTGGAAATGTCTCAGGTAGCCAGTCAGTGACGTCCCCAATACCTCTACGTAATCTATCTTTGCTTTTTATTATGAGGGGCTGCTGCGCTGTGATGTGAAGGGAAAGGAGGGTCAATGGACAGCACCATGGGCAGTATTTAACCTCCCTGTTTTCCTCGGAATATTTGGACCCAGGCCTTGTGATTGACTTCGTAACCCCGGCTCGCTCCAGGTCGGGATGTGGCGATTGTCGTAGATCGGGCTCTCCAGTCCACGCACTAACTGACTAACCAGTGCGCTAATGCAGGGCACGTCAAAAGC